TTCAAGGCCTTCAAGTTCCCCGACTCGTCGTACGTCCAATTCCGGGCCACGGTCAACGTGTGTCTGGACAAGTGCCTCGGCACCCAGTGCTCCAACAACCAGGTGGGCTTCGGCCGACGCAAGCGGGAAATCAGCTCAGCGAACAAGGTCTACGAGATTTCGCTGGCCATGTTTTTGCAGGTGCAGGACATCGAAGGAGTCAACAAGAGTGAGTTAATAAAAAGGGGAAAATAAAAAAGAATTTCTGAATTAATCTATACACTACTATAAAAGACTTCCTATAAAAAACGGTCAGTAGGAAATTTCACCCTGAACGGATTGACATAAAAATCTAAAAAAATTACATTAATTCCTAAAATAATTAGGAGCCGCGTGTGAGGTACAAATTAGAACAATAAACAACCCCAAAGTGCCCCAAAATTCGTTTTGTTATTTTTTAATTTATTATAAAGATTTCGTATTTTTTTTTCCGTAATATAGGAATTAGGAAATATTTAAAGTAATTACAATTTAAATGATACAACTCTTAAATATAATATTTTTAAAAAGCACATAATTTTAAAACAATTTTTTTTTTGCTTTGAGAATTTGTTTATATTTATATAGAGGAATTTATTTCACTTCTGTGGAAACTATTTATCTAACTTATCCACTTCTCTTTCGACAGATGAAGTCCTGCAGCTGGAGGAGAAGCTGCGGGAGCTGAAGCTGGCCAACCAACGCCTGGCGAGGAATAGTCGTGGCAACTTTGCCGTGGAGCAGACGCCCGCCAGTGCTCAGCCCGCCTTCGTGGTGGACGAGCGGGAGCTGGGACACCTCAGCTCGGGATCGGGATCCGCTTCCAAAGGCCTGTCGCTGGTTCTGTCGACGCTCATTGGGGCCCTGAGTTGGCGGCTGATGTAGAAGTTGTAAATCTCTCAAGGCGTAAACGACGTGCGAGTGCGAGGAATGCTAATCAGGGCGGAATTGCGTGCAGTGGCAATGAACGAAGGAGGGAATATTAATGTACTACCTAACTACTAAAATATACCTATACTTGATGTAACTGCCATTTACAAAACGTAATTAACTTTAAATGTATGCGTAGCTTAGGTTTTCTACGACTTATGGCAGGCGACATTGCGACAGAAAAAGATACAGAAACAGACAGACAACAGTGATTCTTATAAAAATACACAAAACACTTACATATAAATATGCATATATATTGGAGAACTTGAAGAACTCGGTCTAACTCATAAGCACCTACTAGTCTCCTAAGTGTAACTGTTAAGCTAATTTAATTAACGACTAAACTAAACGAATTAATTGATTAAACGAAACTCTGATTGAAAATGACTTTGAATCTTTTTAATTTATGTCAGCTAATGAAACGGAAGGGAATGAAATGGTTTGTATATACATCTTACCTTATATTTGCTTGGGTGAATTAATTAAATGCACAAGGAAGGTCCAGTGGATAATTCAAACACAATCACACTTTACAAGAAATAAAATTTGAACACCTAAAAAAAACATTTTAAGAAGATTGCCAATAACATTATCTCATAATTTTCCATACCATGCCATTTAATATTTAAAGTACTTTCAGTAATTAAACACAATCACACTTTACAAGAAATACAATTTGAACACCTAAAAAAACATTTTAAGAAGATTGCCACTAACATTATCTCATAATTTACCATACCATGCCATTTAATATTTAAAGTACTTTCAGTAATTATACACAAAAAATCATTGGACAAATTTCCCAAAACAAATTCCAATTTATAAATAAATAATAATTACACAGGTCGACAAAATCAAGACTTTTTTTTGGCCCAAGAATAAACGCTACAAAACCTGAAAGAATTATAGCTGTAGATTACTACCTCATCCTTGGAAACTTTCCAACACGTCGAATCCTTGGTCAAAGTTCCAAATTTTCGATTTTTAGGCACTTGTTGCGGCTTAATAGTAAAAAAACCTTTCGTAGCCCAGAGCCACAAAAAAAATACTATAGATGAAAAAAAGTTACAAAAAGTACTTTAGTAAAATCCATTGTAGCTAATGAAGTAGAGGACGCCCAACTTTGTGATTGGACAATCTTGAAATTAAAGGTTCAAAGTACCTTTTCCGCTAAATTTTGGCTCTGGGCTACGAAGGGTTTTCCTGCTATTAAGCCGCAAAAAGTGCCTAAAAATCGAAAATTTGGAACTTTGACCACGGATTTCTCAAAGCTTCGACGTGATGGAAAGTTTCCAAGTATGAGGTACACTCAAAATAAAATTAACCCTAAAGTCAAGGAAATCGCCCTACTTTTGTCTTCAAGACAAGCTAGCCCTAAATTTTAGGGTCACATTTTTCTATATTTTTGATTTTTTTTGACGTCATATTTCTAAATTTTAGGGTAATTTTACTAAATTTAAGGGCAAAAATTTCTAAAAAGTAGGAAATTTTCCTAAAAAATAGAAATTAAAAACAAAACAAAAAAACATGTTCAATCATGATTTTTTTGTATATACGTTTATATTATGTACTCCTCCCTATGTACATATGCAGGCGTTGTGTGTCTTGTATATTGTGAATGTTATAGGTTATGTATTTATTATTATGTATTTGCACTTGGATTTCTTATGTAACCAAAGCCAAATGTGGTTGTAAATGTGGACTACGGGACTGCGGGGGAATGGGGGAATGTATAAATTATGATTAGTTAATATTTTATCTTCATGAAAAAAACTTACAATTTTTACTTGTCCGTCGTGAGAATCGAACCCGGGTCTCCCGCGCGAGGAGCGAACGGCCTACATACTGGGCCATTGTAGCACATAAATTTGTTGTGGCAAACCGAGCATTGTATGTAAAGGGTGAAGCGGACAACACATTTGAATACTAATTGCATAATTTTGACCATTCGCGTTTTACCTTTTTACATACGTATATACATATGTATATATTTATGCTAACGCAATTTATATTATGTGTAGTATATAGTAAATAGCTGAATATAAACCTAATTATTTTAGTTTACCGCTTGCCATCAATAAAAAAAGGAATAAAAAAAAGTAAAAAAATAAATAAAAAGAAAAATAAAATAACATTAAAAAAAAAATTAAAAAAAAAGGTAACAAAAATTTGCTCTGGGACTCGAACCCGCGTCGATTCGATTGCTAACCAAGTGCTTTAACCGTCTGCGCCACGGGTACAGCCGGCCGGCAGTTGACAAGTTCTGGCATTGAACATTTTGGTGTGCCAGAGCATGTGAAAACAAATATTTCTTTTTTTATATTTTTAGAAAAAATTTCTACTTTTTAGAAAATGTTTCTATTATTTAGGGTTGGTTTCATTTTAGGGTTAGGGCACTAATTTTTAGAAAAGGTGTTGCCAAAATATTTTATTATTTTCGTTTGCCTTTCTATTTTTCAGAAAATAATTTCTAAAGTTTAGGACATTTTTTTTAGATTTTAGGGTGATTTTAGTTCATGGTAACCATTTTCTACATTTAAGAAAAACTTCCTAGATTTGAGAAAAACTTTCTTGACTTAAGAAAAATTTCCTTAGATTTAGAAATAACTTTCTTGTATTTAGAAAAAAGAAATTTTTAGGGCGATTTTCTAAAATGTAGGGTTAAATTTATTTTGAGTGTAGTTCTCTACAGCTAAAATCCTTTCAGGTTTGGTAGCTTTTATTCTTGGGCTTTTTTTTTGTCGACCAGTGTTATTTTTATTTAAAATACTATTTGTTATTATTTAAATTATTGTTTATTACTTAAACTAATAATTTAGACTAGCGGAAAGACTTTAATTTTGTTTTCTTTTGCTTAATTATGTTTTAGTTTCAATGGTAAATTTATTTTTTTTGGTAAAGTTGTTTAAATGAAATTTAAACAAGAAGGGAAGTTACCTTCGGCCAGCCGAAGCTTATATACCCTTGTAGATTAAAGAATGCTTACTCGGTGCAGTTCCAGGGATTCCAGATTCAGCGTTTCTATTTATTTAAATTTAGTTTTTAAGTAGTCAAGAATCAAAACGCCTACTTCCTACAAAGTTACAATGAATTTTCTTATATTTGTTTGAATATTCCTATGGGAGCCTTAAGATATAGTGGTCCGATCCGGCTCGCTCCGACATATGTACTACCTGCAATAGAAAGAAGACTTTCGGGAAAGTTTCATCGCGATAGCTTTAAAACTGAGAGACTAGTTCGCATAGAAACGGACAGACGGACAGACGGACATGGCTAGATGGACTCGTCTATTGGTGCTGATCAAGAATATATATACTTTATGTGGTCGGAAACGTCTCCTTCACTGCGTTGCAAACTTCTGACTGAAATTATAATACCCTCTACAAGGGTATAAAAATTCGAACAAACCGCCCAAATACAAATAGTTTCGGTGAATCCCCTTGCTAAGAACACGTTGTGAGTAATGCGTTAGTACATTCGCATAATGCATGGTCACACTAGTACTATCGCATAAAAGAGTTACAGCTGTGCCATCTCTAAAACGCTGGCGTTTCTCTCACCGAAATGGTTTTTTTAGGCAATGCAAACAAATTACAGACAAACACGTAACCAGTGGCTGTCAATTGAAGCGACAACCGGCAGCTAGGCAGCAAGTAAACACGGCAATCGAGCCGGCTAACAAATCAATCGGACTTCCAGGCTAATCCAGTTGTGACGTGTGACACATTCGCGATTCGATTTGCATTTGCCAACGCAGATTCGTTTGGATCCGATACGGATTTAAATTTCCCGAGAACTGGAGAAATCTGCCAGGCTGGCGATCGCTGGACTGTGACGTGCGACCCGCGACTAAACCCAAACACACACACACCCACATAGCGTAGATGCCGACGATTCCAGGTGGGCCCGTGCCCGATGCTGGACACGCTTGTTGGACACGGCTGCTCGACACGGGAGCTCTGCTGTAGAAGGGCCAGCCGCGGGCTTCCAATCCCACCGAATCCATTGAATCCGATAAGCCAGCCACCCACCAATTCCCCCACAAGAAGATGCGATCGCGCAAGGTGCTGCTCATAGTTGGCTTCCTGGTTACGTGGACCTATGCCACCTACTATCTCCTGTTGCGCCACACGGGCGTCCACACCAGTCGCAATCTGGCGCACCAATCCTACAGGCTCAACTCGCAGGCACGCGAAGCGAGTCAGCAGAGCCATCATCTAGCCAAGAATGTCTTCGAGTTTGTCAAAATCAAGTACCTGGAGAACCAGCAGGAAGCCTCCACTCCCCAGATTAGCATCGTGGCTGCCGAGATATCAGCAGTGCTGCCGGCGGAGCAGCTGGCGGTGGCCAAGACGGCCACGGCGCGCATTCCAACGAAAACATATCTGGCCAACGGCGAGCCCGTCTTCCCCGTGCTGGTCTTCGCCTGCAATCGGGTGTCGGTGAAGAAGTGCATCGACAATCTGGTCCAGTACAGGCCCAGCGTGGAGCAGTTCCCCATTATTGTGTCGCAGGTATGTCTCTAATTATATTCATTTAATCAAATGGAAGCTAATTGTTTTGGTATCTCCCACAGGACTGCGGCGACGAGCCCACCAAGGAGGTGATCCTCTCGTACGGCCAGCAGGTCACCCTCATCGAGCAGCCCGATCTGAGCGACATCACCGTGCTGCCCAAGGAGAAGAAGTTCAAGGGCTACTACAAGATAGCCCGCCATTATGGCTGGGCTCTGAACACCACCTTCGGCGTGGGCTTCGAGTTCGTCATCATTGTCGAGGACGATCTGAATGTGGCGCCCGACTTCTTTGAGTACTTCCTGGGCACGCACAAGCTGCTCAAGCAGGATTCCAGCCTGTGGTGCGTTTCGGCGTGGAATGACAACGGCAAGGCCGCCGTCGTGGATGCGGCGCAGCCGGAGCTGCTCTACCGCACCGACTTCTTCCCCGGTCTCGGCTGGATGCTCACCAAAGATCTGTGGGGCGAGCTGTCGGTCAAATGGCCCAAATCGTGAGTGGGCCAATTATGTCTGTCGTTTGCCATTCGATCGCTAATTGTCCGTTAACTGTTCTAGCTTCTGGGATGATTGGATACGTCACCCGGCCCAGCGCAAAGATCGCGTGTGCATTAGGCCCGAAATATCGCGGACTCGCACGTTTGGAAAAATAGGCGTATCCAAGTAAGAGATAGCGAGCACAAAGTGGAACAAAATGCTAGGCATTATCTAATGTTCTGTTCTATTTTTTCAACAGCGGTCTGTTCTTTGATAAGTATCTGAAGCACATTAAACTCAGTGAGGACTTTGTGCAGTTCACAAAAATCAATATGAGCTACCTGCTGAAGGTTAGTAAACAAGTGCATTATGACTTGACCACAATAATTACTATTTCCCTTTCAGGACAATTACGATAACACCTTTCTGCGGCGCGTTTACACGTATCCCATTGTTACGTACGATGAACTGCGTCGAAACCTCATCAGGTAAGTTATTATTTCTTCTGATTTTAGTGACTTGGAATATTTTGAGATTACATATTTAAATCAAATTATTTCCTTTCAGAATTGAAGGCCCAGTTCGCATCCAATACACTACTAGGGAGCAATACAAGCGGACAACCAAGATGTTGGGGCTGATGGATGACTTCAAGGTGGATAATTGAAACGCTTTGCTTGCAATCATTGCTAATACAAAACCCTTCTCAATAATTACAGAGCGGTGTTCCTCGGACTGCTTACCATGGCATCGTCTCCTTCTACTACAATAAAAGGCGCGTGCACTTGGCACCGAATGCCAACTGGAAGGGCTACGAGCTCTCTTGGAGCTAACGACGCTAAGGCCCGAACATCGCCAACTCCACCTCCACTAACACACAGCTAGCTCGTGTGCTTGTAATACCAAAAAATAGCCCTATGAATTTTTATTTTTATTTGACCAATTAGCTAAGTTGTAACTATGGAATCTCCTCGAACAGCAGTTGCTGTTTAATGCCATCGCGAAGGCAGGGGAGTTGGGAGGAAATGTAACCATCAACTCCCCGACTTTCAAGCCTACTGTTGGCGTAACAAAATCAAATCAAATGAGTCTCCAATATGTATAGTAGTTAACCGAACTGTGTGTGTTGCATGAGCCAAAAGTGTTCCATTCTAGCACGCCACACAAGCAACGCAATGAATTGTAAATATGTCAGTGTCGTTCGCTTTTGTTACAGCTCTCTATCGCTCATTTTCAATTTAGCATGTTAAATGGCAAATATGTATAGCAATGGTTAAGTTATAGTATTCAGCTTGTAACTTTTAGCATTTAAGTTGATCCAACTCGAGTTCTAACGGCAACGGACGTGTAATATTTGTGATTTGTGATTTTTGATTAATTAATTTACATTTATTAATTGTTGAGAGCCAGTCAGTAAACAATACCCGACCCACAATGTAACATAGAATAGCAAACTAGCGCTAGAACTAGAACTAGACCAGTGCTGAGCCGCCAGGGGTGAGCCAATAATCCCGGGCAGGTCTGAAAGTGTGCCACTCTCAGCTAGTTGTAATGGAATCTACACAGAGAAGACATGTACTCTACCCCCTATGACTACCCTTTGTATGAGCATATTTTTGTGTGTGAGAAAGACGGTACGGAACATAAATTCTAAAGATAAAACGCTGTGTTTTCACTCCGTAGCCGGTGGCTCCTCATCCTCGTCCAGCTGCTCGCAGTCGATGTCGCTGCACTCGGACTCTGATTGCGTGGGTCTTCGGCTCCTTTGGGCTTGATTTAATCCCTCATGGCCGTAGGACGTGGCTGCTCCAGTGGCTGGAGTGCTTCGTTGCTGTAGGAAGTTGGCGTTTGCATCTCCGAAAACTCGTTCCAGTTCGGCCAATCCATTGGAGGAGGAGCCGCCTTCCGTTTCCGGCGGCAGTGTGGCGTACTTCATCTGCAGATAAGCCTCGTTTGGAGGAAGGGATGCCGCGTAATCCACATAGCTTCCGGCATACGACTTGCAGCGAGGGATGTAGCTGGTGGAGGGCACACCTCCCGCCGTTGGCTTGGCCACTCCAAAGGGCAGGGCAAAGTTCAGGGGCTGTCCCCGTGCCAGGATCGCATTGCGGGCACTCTCCATCACACTGGGCCCCGGCAATGGTGGCATCCCGCCACTCGTCGGATACGGACGCATTGGTGATCCGGTGGCCGCCGCCGACGCCATGGGGGCGGCAGATCCGTTACCATTCAGCATGATGGACTGAATGGGCGTGGGACCCGTTGGCGTTTGGCTAAAGAGCCACAGCCGATCTCCGACCACCATGGGTCTGGCCAATCCCCCGATTCCCAGCTGAGCGTAATAATGCGAGGCCAGCGTCTCCACGTCCGAGGTGTACTTGCGCTTCCACTTGGTCCGCCGGTTTTGGAACCAGATCTTTATCTAAATTGGATGGATATATACTTTTTAGAGACTTTTTAGACAAGAGAGAAGTTAATTAATGAAGTATTCATTATGTTTAGAATTTAAAGTGTAATTGTTTATTTAAATTCATCGCAAGGTTTATTAACTAAACTGTATCTTTGACTGAGTGATGTAAGCATTATCTAATCATCTTATTTCTATGCTGCCGCGAAGATTAAATTAAAAACTAAAAGAATTTTTTTCCAAAGAGGTAGGAAAATTTATGTTTTAAACCTTACTTTTAGTATAACATGCGAATAGACAAACGACTTTTAGCCTGACTAATATATTTTAAACTTACCTAATAAGTGATCGGAACAATTTGAAAAACCATTTTTTATTTGTCTATACTCCAGAAAAATACTTTCAATAAGAACCAAGTTTACTTTTTTAAATATCCACCACATGCGCGGATCTACGGAAGGGGGGATATGGGGTATATATCCCCCCATTCCTGTAAAAAATGCATGGAAATTGGGTATCCAAAAATCCTTAAATTCTTATTCTATATATCCAAGTTTGTTATTGATTTGAATTCATTTTAAAACAATAATTTATACTAAGTCAATTTCCCTTTTAAATTAATATTAACTAGACGAACTAATGAAAGGTTGTTAGTTAGTTTTCCGGGATTTAAAAACCCCATTTCTAACCTGCGTTTCTGTGAGTTGCAGCTGCTTGGCCAGTGCTGTTCGCTTGGCCACCGATAGATACTTTCCCCTCTCGAACTCGGTTTCCAGGGCTTTGATTTGGGCTGCCGAAAAGGCGGTTCTCGGACGCTTCTTGCGGTCATCGCCGAGGCCTGCAACGGAATAAAATGGGGAATTGAAAGCATTAAGAGTGGGAATCTAAATTAGACATTTATTGCTACCGACAGCGGCCATTCCCGAAAGCGGTGCCAACTATTTTCGCCTAATTGTAATTTGTCGATCCGTTGGCAAGGTTGTATGTGCATCATCCCAACCCCCGAAAACCCCTTGAATTACGTTGTGAAAATCAAAAAGTTGCATTTCACTTAGCCAAGGCGTCTAATTGGCCATTTTGCCATACATTCTCTTGCCTGACCGAAAACAAATTGTCATATAAATTCCTTCTTTACGGGTGGAAGCTTTCCTTTGAGATTGCGACCGTTCTTTGTTTGCTTTTGACATTTGCATCATTAGTCGACTGCGTTGGGGTGCGAAAAATGAAGGTGAATGGATGGCTTATTCCCCGTCACCCAAAAAGCTAATTTCTGATCATTTGTTTCTTGATCGCACAGATGACAGATGAGATCATTCAGCCGTAAGCACTCGTTCGTTCAGGTGGGAGACGCAATGTATTGGGCCCAATAATGAATGGTTGCGCTATGCATCTTATGGGTCATTCTATCTTATTAAAAACGGAACGGTCTTTAAAAAATATCTTTTCGTCTTTATATTCACACAATTTATGCTCGGTACCTAATCATCAATCAACTACAAGATTTCGGTTTAAAAATATTTTCAATATATTTTGTTAAGCTTTTGTCGTGTTATTTTAAGGAATATCATAAATTCCTTTTAATAAAACAAATATTTGTAAGAAAATCTTAAAAACGTGTATTTAAAATTTTTAAAAAATAAGCTGAAAAACTATTTAAGGAAAACCCAAATGTTTTTTTGAAAATTATCCTAATTGGTATTACTATTAACATTTCAAGCATAATGAATCACGAAATGTTTTTGCTTTCAAAGTTCCAAGATGGCTGAATCTCCTATTATATCAGTGCTGATCAAGATTAGACTAGAAGAAATACAATAAAAAACCATAAAAACATAATGATATTAGTAAATGGTAAGTATTTATCCGACTCGAGATCTACAATTCTTAGGTCTGTTATATGTATTCTTTGTCAGGATCGTAAAAAGGGTGTGTATGTCAAGGAGCTTAGTTAAATTAATAATATATTAAAACAGGACAAAGTATTTTTCCGTTTTGAAAAGCTAAGCTAAGCTATTCCCGTGGATTTGTCTGCAGCGTTAATAAACTTCTAGCTCAATAAAAAATTAGTAACTACAGGATACCTAAAGTATAAATGTAAAATTCAATTCAGAAAAATGTTATTTCTTTTAGGTTAGCATAGAATGATATTAAGCATTTGAAGCCATTTTTACATCATTACTCCACATAATATGCTGGCAAATCAATCATACGCACCGTTTCCATCGTCTGAAGCCAGATCGATATCACTTTTGCCGTCGTCTAAGTTATCCTCCAAACAACTCGATGTGGCTGGACTGGAAACACGCGAAACACTACCACATAGGCCACTGCGAGCACTCTCATCCTGCTCGGATTCCTGAAAGGAATTGGAGCTACGCATTTCCGGCTTGGCCAGAATTTGTTCGATGGAGAAACTGTGTGGGTAACGCCGCACTGCCGATTGCGAATTCATATTTCCACCGATATAGTGCGAAATTTAAATTCTTGAAAACCCGTATCGCTATTTCGTCCCGCAGACAACAGAGCGCGTCAAGATCTTACGGAAAACTAATTTGAATATTCGGAGCATCCTGCTCACTGGCCGATTTTTTCAAGATGATCGCCTGGCGGGGCGGAGCCTAAGTCGTATATCTCCCTTCCACTCACTTTATACGGCCGGTCTGCAGGACAGAAAGGAACGGGAACATATTCCGATTTTCACAGACACACAAATATGTTTATTTTTAAAACATGTGTGCAATTGTGGCGAAGGGGGCGTGTCTCTCGCTCGTCTTCGCCTAGAATATTTTCGAATTCGTTTTTGTCAACTTGCCGGTGATTAAAAGTCATAATTTTTGGCTAATTGTCTACAAGTAGCGCTATTTAATATTTCGATGGCTTGCTAAATATTTTTAATATGTTTGCCAACATATTTCATTCTTTTGATTAATGAGCAGCCGACCAATTTTAGGCGACTGGATTTGGTTTCAGTGCATTGGTGTGTGGGCACGTGTCCTCATTTGGAATAATTTATATTTGAACAAATAAAGCAGTTTTTAAAGAATTTATGGAAATGTTTTATAATTTGTTTCTTTTAAATTCATGATTAAGTAATAAAATTAAAAATAATAAAATTGATAGACGGTTGACACTGTTTCATTTTCTAGTTCTGTATGAAATCTAAATTAAAATTTTTAAATTTACCTTTTAATTTTCTGCTTTGGTTCTAAATAATATAATCCATTAAGAAATCGCATGCGACACAATGTATTTATTACGAAAAACCAAAGGTCCTTGAAGTAAATCAAGAACTAAAAAGAACTGAAAAAACTATTAAGCATCGGCTTAGTTCTAAAATTACACAGAGAAAATTATCAAAAGTTTTAGGTGCAAAATAAGGGGTGAAACATTTTAAAAAGTAAAACGTTTCATTCAAATTTATTTTACTTTGCATTTTTAAAACGTTTTTATTTTTATTTTTAAAACGTTTTTATATGAAAACGGCACCTAAAACGTTGCATGATTTTCTCTGTGTATGCAAGCAAATTTTTTAAGCGGTTATTTCTTGTTTATTTTTCAGAACATTTTTATATAATTGTAGCGTTAGGATATTACTAAATAAATTAAATTAATATATAGGATGGTTACATGATGTTGTTAACATTCCTTTAACGTTATATTATGAAACATTTTTAAAAGTGTTTTCCTCGCAATATCCCAAGCCCCCTGTAAAACTTTCATTAATTCGAAATTATGAACATATAATTCAGACAGAATGAGCTGGGAAATGAAAAGGGGAGATCAAGATCGGACAAGGGGGAGGATCTGAGAAATTAGCCGGCGGGATGGGCGACACTGGTTTCCAATTGGCCAGCAGCCAACTCCACGTCATTTACTATGCTACAGGGTGCCATGAATGCTGGATGCCGTGTGATAACGTCTTAATTATTCATGCGCGATTTGAACAAAATATGTGAAACCACGTTAATTAGTCGCCAAGTGGCGAGAGCGAAAGGGCAAACGGCGAGGACGAATCGCAGCATCGCATCCATTTAGCCGGCCGAGCTGTCAGTTTGATTTAATTTAATGAGAATACTGGCGGGGATAGGATCTACGAGGGGATTCTGAATCTGCCTTATGAGGCCGCATGCCCGAGTGTCGCGGGCACTCAAATCAAAATGACAACTTAATTTTCATAATTGCGCTTAATGAATATTCGACTATTGCTTGCCATATTTCAAATTCCACTGCCAGACGGAGGGCAGACTTTGTTTCGACTCTGGCATTTCGAATCATTTACCAATCTGTTGGCCATTTTAGGTACCATTTCCATGATGTCTTTATGAAACTCGTGATTACTATAACTATTTTAAAGACTTATGCCCTGGCTACTCTGGTAACTTAAATTAATAATAATAATTTAATATAAATTAAAATCCTTTACAAACTTTCCTGTCGAACAATACCATTATAAGATCTCTAAAAATCAGTACAAATCAGATGATCGTTCAAAAAAGGAAGGTATACTGTTTTTTTAAGTTTTATGGTAAATTCAAAAATTAATATATAAAAAATACTTAAAAGGGTAATGAATTGTAGATTCATCCACAATGGTATTATTATTTTTTTGTACATATATTTTGTTTACAAATTATGTTTTAAATTGCGGGACATATTTTAAATTGCACTACAATATTATTTTGGACTGTGACTTTTTAAATCAATTAGAGATTTCTTGGCTCTTTGCTTAGTTATTGCATAAGGCCCCCAAAAAAACCCTTAACTTAACCAGATCAGCTCGCATGATGATCGCATTTAACGTTAAATGGAGCGCTGCCGCGTCAGAATTTAATTAATAACCAAGCATGCATCTCCATTATAAATCATCACTTCTCGAGTGTTTGTCAGGCGCACGCAGCATAAATCACGGGCGGAGTTGCACTGGCAGTCGCGTGGAACAGTCCGTCCTCCGGCCATAATGTCGATGTTTTTTGTCCCCTCTTTTTGTCATCGCATCCAGCTAATGATGCATCAAGTCCTGCGGGGTGTTAGCTACATCTAACTTGGGCCTCGGCCTCGCTGGCACATCGATCACTGGGCTGCTCCGGCCAAACATCTGTATCTGTGTCTGCGACACTCCCACGCCATTGTCTCTCGGATATTCCTGGGGTTTCCGATTACGTCAAAGGTGACGTTGGACGCACCACCAGGGGAATCCTTTGCGGGCGTGCATTGAACTCTTTGGGAAATTGTATCCTGATTAATTCGTTGGGCTGTCTATTTGCTTGCCTCGAAGCTAATTTGTGTTAAAAACTAATAGAGCTATGACGTAGAAATAAGACACTAAGATTTTCAGAGATCTATAATAAAATTGTAGTGTTTATATATACATATAAAAAATAAAGAGTTTTATATTTATGATATATTTTTAATAAATGGTCCTGATAATTTTAAACATTTTTGAAATATTATTATGATTTAAGAGAGAATTTGAAATAAGTAATTAAGACATCCGTTACTGCTGAAATTAAACATAATCATGATTGCTTTATCCTTTCAGTAGCCTGCAATAAATATCAGTCATGAATCTTCACCTCTCCACCCAAAGTATGCTGTTAATTTCATTCATAAAAACTTCCTCGTGCAAAGGAAACCATCCAAAGCAGACCAGCCTACGCCTTATAAACTGACAGATATAAATAATAATTAAGAAAAAATGAGAGAGAATGAACTGCATATTATTAATTTAATGTGCGCTCGTTTCGAATTCAGAGTTCGGGGATGTGATGGGATGGGATGTGAGTTCTTTTCTGAGAAACATGCTTGGGGAGGAGTTCGAGGAGTAAAAGGCGTCATTCCGTGTTTATGTTTCAGGCGAGCAGACAAGACTCATAAATTACAACCAATTATCAAATTAGATTTTTACAAAACATGCAGCTTAAATCATATAGGAGTGTTTCGCTTTTTACGACACCATCTTATCGGATTTCCTTGCTTTTTTTTCTTAGATATTTCTTTAAAAGTTGAATGGGGTTTTTTATTGGATCAAATGCAGAATCAATTTGGATTCATGGGCTGCTGATGGCGACAATTAAAGGAAAGCTGTGCAATTGGGAAAAATTAGCAGACAATGTGCGCCCTGACAACTACGGGCAATTAATTTGGTGTAATTACTCAGGGCTGAGTGACAGATCTGGAGACTGCTGTATCTTCGGGCTGAATTTGTATCTCGAGTGTGCGGAGTGCTCTGTGTTGCCACCTCAACGCATCGATGGGATTCTCCGGGATCTCCAACAATTGCGGCGGCATTTTAATGAGCCAAATGGGCATGGAGATGCCTATCTCCCCGCCGAGTGGCGGAAAATTGCCCCATCTCAAGAAAGGGGTGCAGATCCTCTAGTGATTCTACTAATTGACATCGGCAGTCTGGTCTGTGATATCAAACAGTTTCACGCACAAATTGAAACTGATATTTGTGCCGGGCAGATTTATGGTGACTAAGTGATGAGCATATGTTTTAATTAATTTCCAAGAAATTATTTTACATTTTGCTAAAATCTCTGATCAATTTCCTGAGCCCGGTAATTCCAATGTTTGACGTGCTACGCCTAGGGTAATTATAACAAATGTCTAACCCGAACATGAGCCCTCCTAATACTCATAATACCACAAACAAACTATATAGTGGATGGGGAGATCCCGAGATTCCCCTCTTCCCATTTTTGTGGCCACATCTGCATGACATTTTTTGCTGTTGTCTTGTTTTGGGGCTCGCGACATTTTCTCGAGACGCCGCCATCCGAGGGAGATTAATGCGGTGAGGAAAATCATAAATTAATTAGAAGCCCTCTCGTCCAGCCTGGAGAGAAATCGGTCTTTTGGAGATGGGAGCGGAGCTGCAGATGCCTATTGGTGACATTTAGCGGCAATTCATTGTCATTAGGGGAGATGGAGGGTCGAAATGAACTACAGGTGTTGGCACAGAATCGCTTAATTAGCCTTTATTATTAGCTACGATGTGGCAACTAAGTGGCCAAATGTGGGAGAACAGCATAGGATTGGAACCCCAAAAGTATATATATGATGGCCCAACTACTCCGACTCCTCTTACTTCCTGTTTCGAAAGTTGGCGCCTAATGCCGACGTTTAGGGACAATTAGCGACACGCCTTTTGGCGCCAGCCAGCATGGAATTCCAATAGTTTTTGGGGGCATGTTCATATGTGGGTTCCCTGAATCGGGATGTGAACTAGGGGCAGGTTCAGTGAATTCCACACTGTCGACAGAGTGTCGCGACTTGAACATCCTGCCGATGTGGCCCAAGGATAGAGATGCATATTACTACTCCATTAGTACAATTATTCTATTAGTGTCAGGAAGAAAGTTCACGAAGTGAAGTTAGGATTTTTTGACAATTGTTGCTTTTATTTTATTAAAAAAGAACATTTTATTATAATTCTTTTGTTTCAAAAGTGATTTAATATATATGAAAATAAATTATCAAAACAAGGCAATCTTATTGTTCAATAAATAAATGGTGTGAAGACAATAATATCCTTCGGGCATTGGAAGGACAACAGATAATTTGTAATACAGATGGCTAATTGGTAGCTTTTTATATAAACGTCTTGCTCAAATATTTGAAGCGTATTAAACTATTCATTTCTATTGGGATTCTTCTGAAGCTTACATTGTAAGGGGAAGCGTGGATCAAATTTGAATACGGAGCAACCAAGTCGTACAAAAATTACACAAAAGGGCTCATATCAATTCAGTCGTTCACCCTCGCCTAATTTAAAACATATAAAAGTTTTTTTTAAAGAGTTATATTAGAAGAAAGTGCAAATTATTTCATACCGTTATATTATTAACTGGGAATTCGTAAATTTTTGTCCTCAAGAGGCATTTGTCGAAATCCATTAATTTCTTGTCAAAGGAAGTGCAGTTTATGTTGGTAAACTCGAATTTGCAGTTGACCTGAAATATCAGTTACTACAAATTCTTGTTATTATCCTAATAGACAGCTTACCTTAGCCACTGCAAATAAAATTATTAAAAAAAGCACAAGTCCATTTAACGCGGACATGCCACAATAGTTATTAACTTGCGCGTTTAGCATTTACAGATCGAAATCTGGCCATTAAAATAAATGGTCAAATGTATCGATTTAAAAATACAAAAATCTTTCTCCACTGCAATTGAGCCAAGAATAATTATAATAGTTTAAGTAATCAAAAATCAAAAAAATAATATAATATAATGTTTACATGCGTGACTGATTTCATGATACAAGTTAATTTTTCATAACCTTTTAATCAATGGTCTGATTTAAAAAATGTTTATAAGCTCATAAAATACCATTTATATTTTAACAAAATTCTTATTTAAAATTCACATAAAATTAGAACTCTGACCTTACTTGACAATTTATCAAAATAACTCTGGAGAAAAAGAGGTAAACAGCATTAGTAAAGAAGTATTTTGAAGACTATAAAATAGTTCGGAAAATATTTAAATGAGTAAGGTTCCACGGGTTTTCTATTTTGTGTTTTGTAGACTTTACAAAACAGTTCAGAATTAGGAACGGATTTTCTACACAGTATTGTGTATACTCTACATGAAATAAGAATTGATGTTTTCTACATAGTTTTTACAAACTTAATCTAAATACTTGCCATCTCTAAGGTTTGAGTCTCTGCTAAAAAAAATTATCAATGTTTTCCACCTGCGGGCTTGTTTCATATTTTGGATTATTTACGGTTTAGGTTTCGGCCTAACGCCTCCTGGTATCGAAATACGGTATCTCATTATCTCAGCTGTTTTCCCTTGACTTTGTTTACATTTTACGAGTTTATTAACATTTAAACAACGTTAAACCATAAATAAAATGGCCTCAGCGACCAGTTCAAGTGCTCGTCATCTATTTGACGAATCTAAGAAGCGATTGTGTGCCCGCGTGGGGGTAAATGTGAATAATTTGGGTGAGTTCTTATGGGTTATTGGTAATAAATCGATACTAAGTCTGGGTTTTCGTAATTCTCAGGATCTGTGGCCCGACAGGTTGTACGAGGTTCCAAGAGCAATGAGGTAAGAAATGCCTGGTATTTCCATCAATTGGTTTAACTGAGATATCAATTCCCACAGATAATGCACCAAACCCTGAAGAACTTCACCCAGGTGGACGTCGTCTCGGACTATAGCCACCAGAATCTGCAGAAGATGACGCTGATCCTGCAGCACGTGGGCTACCAGTACGACGTGATGCAGGATAGTGTTAACCACTTGGATTACCTCAAGGAGCAGGTGACGGCCATGGAAAGATGATTGGAAGAGCAAAAGCCCAGACACTAGCAGCCATCCCGACCTCCACCACCGCCAGTTTAGTTTGTCCCAAGTCATATCCATCCATAAATATCCATAAATCCCAAGAAAGATAGCCGGAGAAGGTCAAGGGCCACTAGAAGAGTTGGGTCTGCCGATAAGATAAGCCAGCTGCCCTGGAGTTTCCTTATAAATAAGGTGAACTGCCTAAGATGCCATGGCAGTTGGCAATTAAAGACGAAATGCTTAGTTTGGAACTGAGACTGGCCATAGCTCTCTGGCTAATCTGGACGACGGCGGCGGCCCAGAACTCCACGGATGGCGGTGGTGATCAGGATGGCCGCATTGTCGGCGGCTGGGAGACGCACATCACCTTCTTTCCGCACCAAGTATCCCTGCAGTTGGGCACTCGCCACGCCTGCGGCGGAACCATCCTTTCGCCCACCATCATCCTCACAGCCGCCCACTGTGTGCTGGAGTACACCAAACCGCAGTACTATGTAATTCGAGCCGGATCCAGTGATTGGTCCAAGGGCGGCAGCTACATCCGCGTCCAGCGCATTATACCGCATCCAAAGTTCCACGATCCGACGAGAATGAACAACGATATCGCTGTTGTTCAGCTGCAGCAACCGCTAGTGTATAGTCGGGATATTCAGCCCATAAAACTGGCCACCAGTCAGGACAGGATTCAGCCGACGGCCCAGCTTTTTGTCAGCGGTTGGGGCACGACGTCGATCTCTCAAATGCAGCCGGAGAAGCGTCTTCGTTACACAGTTGTCCAGCTCAGAGATCAGGATCAGTGTGCCAGAAACTATTTCGGAGCTGGCACCGTGACAAACACCATGTTCTGTGCGGGAACCCAGATGGGAGGAAGGGACAGCTGCCAGGGAGATTCGGGAGGACCGCTGGTCACCTCCCTCGATGGTCAGATGAAACTCTACGGCGTTGTGTCCTGGGGCTTTGGCTGCGCAAACGCAATGTTTCCTGGAGTTTACACAAGGGTTTCCGCCTATGGTGACTGGATTGCGCAGACAATGGAAGAGCTGGTCTAGCTTAAAATCTACTTCTTCACTACTTAGAAATAATAGACAAATTCAACTATATGCTTAAGTTATCGCGTAGTCAACCTAATGTATAAGATTTTCCTGCTCTGTAAATGAACTTTGTCAATCGCTAATAACTTGCTAATTCTCAAGTTCAGGTGACTAACCAAAAACATAAAATATTACTTATCGAAAAACAATTTGTTAATTCAACTTTAATGCCAAATTACCTTGTTTATGAATGCAAAATGTAAAAACAAGTTTTGGGATCGTGGCTGGCTAAGCCGCCGATCGTAGTCGCATATAAAATGCGCATCTCGGCGGGCCAAAGACCAGTTTTTGGCTCTCACGAACTGCGAATACCGAAGTCGCTGTCAGTTACCAATCGTAGCTTGAGTCGAGAGGAAATATCAGCCAGCCATGAAGCAGTTTATAGTTTTGGTAAGTGAGGCAACTGTCTACATCAGACATTACTCAACTATAACTCTTCCTGTTTGCATGTCAAGGTCGTTTGTTTATTGGGAGCCACCGCCAGGGCTGATGTGTCCCATTTGGTCACCCCGGAGCCAAAGGTTCCGGCCAGTCCGTATGTGTTTAGCTACCAGGCTGGTCGAGCTCCCGGACATGTGGATCGCCAGCACACCGAGGTATCCGATGGATCGGGCGTTATTCGCGGGGCCTTCTCCTATGTGGACCCCAAGAACCAGGTGCGCACCGTGCAGTATGTGGCCGATGAGCATGGCTTCCATCCCCAGCTGAGCCACAAACTGGAGGACAGTGCCGCTGTCCAGGCGGCCAAGAAAAGGCATTTTGAGGCCTACAACCGAATTGCGCAAGAGCATGCCAGTCACACACCAGGCCAGGCAGTGAGTAGTATTCCGTGGGCAGGTGTGGCTTTAAGTAGTTTGCAATGATTGCATTGTTTTTTCCGTTCCTAGGCACTAGCTAACGCTCCGCATGCCAGCGCCGCCGTTGCTCATGCTACCCAAAAGCACCTGAACGCCTTCGAGCGGATCGCAGCCGAGCACGCGGCCATTGGACGCCAGCAGGAGGCTCAGCGTCTGGCACTGGCCGCCCAATCCGAGCATGGAGATATCGAAGATGGTCAGTACCACCCGTAAGTGGTCTGCGACCAAACAGCACACTGTATGACATGAAAATAAAGAGGAACTTTCCAGAAACATCTATTTTTTGTGAGTTGGTTTCGTGATCTTTAAACTGGTTAATCAAATTGAATAAGTGAGACAGCAAAAGATCAAATAATCTAGTTCTTTGTCCTAAATTATTATAAAAATATTTAAAAAAAAAACATGTGCTTGATTGAAAATACAATAAATAGGCCAAATCAGATATTTCTAATTGAGTTAATTTGTTTGTATCAATGTTTAGTATTTAGATAGCTTGTGATTCAATAATTATATTAAAATTATACAAGAGAATGGTTTTTGCCTTTAGTGTGTAGTTACCTATGACACCTTCAACTAGTTGGATGTTTGGGAAAAATGGCAGTTAATCTAGTTTCTCAAATTATTGGGCTTCTCTTTGTGTTCGTATTTCAATTTGTAAGTTGTTAAGTTTTTAAAATATTCCAAAAGCCTAAACCTTAATCTTTATCAACAGAGTTGTATTGAGTACTTTGATCCGTGCACTCATCACAATGGGATACCAGAAAAGGAAGTAGAAGCATTGTTTAAAGATTGGCCAAACAATCTGAACTTGGCCAGCGTTAATAGGACCCACAAGTGTTATGTGACCTGTATTTTATTATATTATCAACTGGTTGGTACCTCTGGCGAGATTATGCTAGACAAATACTTCGACTCTGGGGTAATTGATGAGTATGCGTTTGCACCCATAATGGGACGATGCCTTTATGAATATAGAGAAGAAACTGATTTTTGTGAGCATACTTTCGGCTTGTTCAACTGTTTCAGGCAGGAGAGGTTATTGAGCTCAGACTATATAAACAAACAGTAAACCAATCATATTTGTTAAATATATTTAAGGTTATGAAGAAATATTTTAAAAATGTATTTTTTAAATTCGATGCCAGTTGGGTCCTGAACAATCGACCATTATTAAATGTACTAGTTTGTATTTGGGACATTGAAATTAAGAATTTCCTTTTAGTTTTTTTTATAAAGTCTTATCTTTCTAAAAGACGCTTTGGGTATTTAACGTATGGTTACAATACTCGTCCCTCAATACTAAATTCGTATGGTATACCATACTAATAATATATAAAAATAATTTCCCTCAATTTAAAGATTTATCCATTATATTCCCTACAATAACGAGTCCAAATCAGATATTTGTAATTGACGTCTTTCTTTTGTTGTACGTAATTTAGTAATTATATATAGTAAATCATATTCATCATGAAAGTAGGGTGCGATTCGCATTTAACATACAGTTTCATTTAAATTCTACAACAGTCCAATGCTTGGGAGAAATGTCAGAAAAAATCGCACCTTTTTGGATACTGTTTCTGTTGGGACTTAAATTTGTAAGTGGCAAAGCTTATAAATTATTCTGAATGTCTTAACATCAATCTTTACGAATAGAGTTATTCTGAGTATTTTGATCCTTGCATGCATCATAATGGGATACCAGAAGCAGAAGCAGAAGCAGTGTTTAACGATTGGCCCGCCAATCTAAACTTGGCCACCGTTAATAGGACCCACAAGTGTTATGTGGCCTGCATTTTGTTATATTACGATCTAATAGGTACCTCTGGAGAAATTACTCTGCACAAATACTTCGAATCTGGGATAATTGACGAGTTTGCGTTTTCACCTATAATGAGAAGATGCCTTTCTGAGTATAGAAAAGAAACTGATTTGTGTAACCATACTTTCGGTGTGTTTAACTGTTTTAGGCAGGAGAGATTACAGAACTCAAACTAACTAGTAATTATTTTAATCTTTATAAACCTATATATTTTTGGCGTTAAAAAAATATTTTAGAAATAGATTTCCTGTGAATTCCTTAAAAATGAACATTCGCTAATATATGTTATAGTTGCTATAAAAGGTTTTTAAATTCATTTTATCCTCGCTGTTAATTTTTTAAAAACTCTTATTGTTTAAAGGGTTTTTTTGAGGTTCTCGCCACAATGTTATGGTGTACTACACTAATTATATTTTATATCATAGGTAGTTATTAAGGATACCAATTAAAATGATAATAAAAAAACATGCCTCGATTTAGAGATTTATTGATCGCATTCTATATAACGAGTCGAAATCAGATATTTATAATTGAGGTCTTTCTTTTGTTATAAATGCGTTTGATTTAATTGAGTATTTATAACAAAGTAATTATTTTCATCATGAGACTAGAGTGCGATTTGGTTTTAGTATACAGTCTCACATAGAGTCTTCAACTAGTTCAATGCTTGGGGAAAATTACACCAAAGCTCGCCTCTTATGGCTACTCTTTCTGTTTGGATTTCAGTTTGTAAGTATGTCCAAAGTTATTTCCAAAATTATTTCGACGACGGCTGAAGCACCCCAGTGAGAACATGTTCGCGGAGTTGCCAACTCTATTCATTTTTATCCTATTCCCCTTTGCTCACGGCTCGTCCAGCTGTTAATCGCTGAGTAGCTCTTACTCACCACGCTTGCAGAGCTTACATACATACACACAAGTGGGGTGAGATTGCCGATTCTATTTTGTGGTTCAGTTGTGAATAGAAAAGCGAAGGGCTAGGGTAAGAAAATCTACGTAAATTTAAGATCACATGTAAAACCTTGCATTTGCAGAAATTTTAAGCGTCACAGCGTCACCACGAAGAGGGACAGCTGAAATAAATACTAGACTTGCATCGGAGTTTAATTTATTGTACGGCGCTGTAAAAACCAGCTTATTTTCGCAACATTTTTTAAAATTTCACAGCGTCACCACGAAGAGGGACAGCTGAAATAAATACTAGACTTGCATCGGAGTTTAATTTATTGTACGGCGCTGTAAAAACCAGCTTATTTTCGCAACATTTCTTAAAATTTCCTACTCTGACTGGACCACGTGGGACGTTACATAATAGCCTGGCGATATGGCACCAACTAATAGTTGTTATTTATGTTCCGCCCCCGACAACGAGGAGATGCTAAGATGCATCAAGTGTTCCAGCCAATATCACCCTACATGCTGTGGACTGGACAACTGTAGTACCACCAGCAATTGGACGTGCGCATGTTGCACGGAGAAGGCGGCGCAGACCTTCGTTCAACAGGGCGACCCTAACCTCACTAGCATTCAACTCGTACAAGAGGCCAACAAAACGCCAACTGAAAGCAACCAGCCAAACCAGAGTGGCGGGGAGCTATCAGAGGACCAGCGGCAGCTTATGTTACAGCAGTTGCAGGAGGAGTTGGATGTCGAAAAGGAATTTCTTCGTCGCAAATTCGCCCTGTTGAGATCCGGAGTTACACCAACCGGAATCGAGACGCAAATAAATCAGCGAGGCCAAGAATGTGCGAACTCTCAACTTACCGCCACCGGTATACAGTTTGCGGAAAACAACGGGTGCAGTACTCCGCACCAGCCGGTTGAGCCCCAACTCATTACAACACGGCAAGCAGCCTTTAGGCAGATGGTGCCCCGAGAGTTGCCCTCCTTTAGTGGCGATCCAAAGGAATGGCCAATTTTCTTCAGTTCATTCGAAAGCAGCACAAAAATGGCCTGTTACAGCAACGAGGAAAATATGATCAGGCTGCAGAAGGCTCTAAAAGGGAAAGCTTTGGATGCAGTCAGAGACTGCCTTCTATTTCCTGACACGTTGCCAGATGTCATGAGAACCTTAAGGATGTACTTCGGTCGCCCAGAGCATATCTTGAAAGTCGTAGTTGATAATATGAGAAGGATGCCGGCACCCAAAGGACAGCTCGAACCGCTCATCGAGCTGGCTTTCGCCGTAAAAAACATGTGTGCCACTATGAAAGCCAGTAATATGTTGGCCCATCTTAACAATCCAACACTTTTACAAGAAATCGTTGAGAAGCTAGGCCCTGAGATGATGCTGAATTGGGCTTTGTACTCAAAGCAATTCGACTGCCCCAATCTACAACACTTAGCGGATTGGATGTTTGAGTTAGCTGACGCAGCTTGTCGGGTAACAACTCCAGCAGTCGGCAGGACAGCCGAGAGGAGATCATTACGCCAAGGCTGCCTAAATACGCACACAGCAGTGGCAGGCTCAGCTCAACAAAGGGTCGAGCACTGCATAGTCTGCGACGGGCCGCACTGCATATCACGTTGCGAAAGTTTCGCCGGTCTGCCTTATGCGGCTAAATGGGATGTGGTGAGAACAAGTCACTTGTGCAAAATATGTTTAAAGAGGCATAACAAATCCTGCTGGAAAAAAAGGTCTTGTGGGATCAACAATTGCCAAGCGATACATCATCCGTTATTGCATCAGGATCAGTCGCCCGTTCCCGGCGCGCTCAATAATCACCGACAGCCCGAAAACGAGGGCGAGGAAAGCTACTTCCGCATCATCCCCGTCACTCTACGAGGGAAATCGAAGCTGATCGAAATATACGCGTTTATGGACGACGGTTCGACGCTGACTCTGCTAGAGGAATCAGTGGCCAACGAGCTAGAGGAGGATGGCATTCCCAGTCCTCTCTGCATAAGCTGGACAGGCAGTGTACAACGACAGGAGCCCTCGTCTAGGCGACTCGATCTGCGAATCTCAGGAACTTCCCAAAATTCCAAGGTGTTCAATATAAGCAACGTACACACAGTGGCCAGTTTGGGCATGACAGCGGAGACCATGATAGCGGAAGATGTCAAAAGGAAGTATCGACATTTAAAAGGGATTCCGATTAAAAGTTATAAACAAGTGGTACCCAAAATGATCATTGGAGTCAATAATCCGAATTTAATATCTTCATTAAAGGTACGTGAAGGTAAATGGAACCAACCGGTAGCAGCAAAGACCAGACTAGGATGGACAGTCTATGGAGGTTCGCGACAACGTGGAAATCGTTTTAATTTCCATAAATGCGAGTGCGACAGCGATCTACATGAGATGGTTAAGGCGTACATAACCGCCGAGGATAAAGTTTCTACGCAGCGGAAAAGCACGCCAGAGGAAAGCAGAGCTTCCGAAATTCTCATGGAGAGGACAACATATGACGGAAACAAATACACTGCCGGGCTTCTATGGTTAGACGAACACCGTTCCTTTCCAGATAGTTTTCCAATGGCAGAGAGACGGCTAAAATGCCTGCAGCGAAAAATGCATAACGATCCTGAGCTTGCTGTTGAGCTGAACCAGCAAATACAAAATCTGGTCGACAAGGGATACGCAAAAAAGCTATCGAGTGAAGAAACCAAAAAGGATGCTGCCGGCGCATGGTATTTGCCAATATTTACTGTGCGAAACCCCCACAAGCCAAACCGGGTACGATTGGTTTGGGACGCAGCAGCAAAGGCCTCGAAATATTGCTTAAACGACTATCTGTTGAAAGGCCCGGACCTTTTGGCCCCACTTTTGAGGATAATGTACAACTTCCGAATGAGAGCCGTCGCAATCAGCGGAGACATAGCGGAGATGTTCCACCGCATAGCTGTAAGACAGGAGGATGCTTGCGCCCAACGTTTCCTTTGGTGCAATCAGTCAGGCACTGCCGATGTTTACCAACTCAACGTGCTAACATTTGGTGCAGCCTGCTCGCCCTGCATAGCACATTATGTGCGTGACAAGAACGCCCTAAAGCACGCAGAGGAATTCGAGGCGGCGGCACGAGCCATCACCAAATTTCACTATGTCGATGACTATATTGATTCGTGCGACACTCCACAACAAGCTATCACATTAGCAAGAGAAGTTAAGGAGGTACATTCCAGAGGTGGCTTTCACATGCATAAGTGGTGCTCGAACCACAAAGAAGTGGTTGCCGATCTAAACGGGTCTACAAACCAGGAAGAGAAGGAGTTCTACAATAACGAAGAAATCCATTCCTTCGAAAAAATTTTAGGCATGCAATGGAGCCCAAGTCAAGACGCATTCACGTATGCTCTCCGCTTCGTTCGTTTAAACCGAAATATTATCAAGGAGAACATAGTGCCTACCAAGAGAGAAGTCCTACAAGTCCTGATGTCTGTCTTCGATCCCATGGGATTTGTATCGTGCATTATGATGTATCTCAAGATCCTGCTGCAAAATATTTGGCGCACGAAAATGGGCTGGGACGACGAACTACCGCCGGAGCTGTACGTCCAGTGGAACTTATGGCTATCATATCTGCCTTTGATTTCACAGGTCGCCATACCAAGACGCTACTTTGAAAACGGAACCCCTGAGGATTGCAGCACCCAGCTGCATATATTTGTTGATGCAGGGGAAGAAGCATATGCAGCCGTAGCGTACTTCCGTATCCAATTCCAAGGAATAATAACTGTTCGTCTCGTTTCAGCCAAATCCAAAGTAGCCCCAGTACGGCCACTCTCTATACCAAGAATGGAGCTACAATCGGCACTGACAGGTGCACGTTTATTTCGAGATATAAAGGCCCAGCATGACATCAAGTTCACGGAGACACATTTGTGGACTGATTCGAAAACCGTTCTGGCCTGGTTAAATGGCGATCCCCGCAAGTACCAGCAGTTCGTGATGTTTCGTGTCGCAGAAATTTCGGAGCTCTCGGACGTTAACCACTGGAGATGGGTTCCTAGCAAGCACAACGTAGCGGACGTCGCTACAAAACGCCAAAGTGGACCCGAAGCGTATGATCGATGGTTTGCAGGACCGGAATTTCTGAGGCTACCAGCGGAAACTTGGCCCATCACAGAATCAAGTCATTCAACAACAGAAGAACTGCGACCGCGATTGCTACATATACGACAGGCCACAATAAGACCAAACTACGAGGCCTTTTCAAAATGGATTACGCTGTCGAGAGCCGTTGCCTATTGGTTCCTATATAAGGAACAGCTGACCAGCCAAAGCCGCAAGCAGTCAAAGCCCACTCGCATTTCGGTATTTCATATAAGGAATGCTCAAGCATACATATTTCGCTGCGTACAAATAGAAGGCTTCCCCGATGAATTCGCGAGAGTCTTAAAATCCACTCCGGTGGCTCGCAGCAGTGTGCTCTGGAGGCTGCAACTATGTATGAACGAGGACAACATAATGCAAGTACGGAATCGGGTAGGAAAATTCAAGAGTACTTCAGACGACCTCGTGATATTGCCAACCAGTCACTGGGTTACCAAACTCATCGTTCGACATTATCACGAGAAATCCTACCACATCAACCATGAGACTGCGCTTAACGAGGTGAGGCAAAGGTTTTATATTCCGAAACTAAGACCTTTATTTAAACAAGTTCGCCGAGATTGCCAACAGTGTAAATTGGACAGAGCCAAACCTCAACCACCTATTATGGCTCCGCTCCCTCCAGCCCGTTTAGGAGGATTTCAACGACCCTTTACGTTCGTGGGCATAGACTACTTTGGTCCACTCACGGTCATTGACGGAAGAAAGTCCCTGAAACGCTGGGGCATGATCTCCACGTGCCTTACTATGAGGGCAATACATATAGAAATCGTAAACAGCCTGAGCACAGACTCCTGCCTTATGGGGCTACGTAACTTTATCGCACGGCGAGGCCTCCCACACGAAATCTACAGCGATAATGGAACTAACTTCCGGGGAGCGGACTCATTCCTCCAGGAAGTCCAGTTCATAGACGAATCCAAAATGCACCACCACCTAGCCCAGCTAGGAATTGAATGGAAATTCAACCCGCCAGCAGCGCCACACATGGGCGGCGCCTGGGAGCGCATGGTCCGCTCAATAAAAACAGTTCTCTACAAAATCTCTCCTCACCAAAAGTTCTCGGACGAGAGCCTAAGGACAGCGATGCTGGAGATAGAGTTGACGGTTAATTCCCGACCGCTTACATTTGTTTCCCTCGACCATGACGACCAGGAGGCTCTAACCCCAAATCACTTTCTGCTGGGATCCTCGAACGGGACTAAGCCATTTTGCGATCCAGAAAGAATTAACTACCGATGGTGCCTGCGACAAAGCGAACAGTTCGCTAACCAATTCTGGACTCGGTGGGTCACGGAAATCCTTCCGACGATCACCAGGAGAAGCAAGTGGCACGAGAAGGTAAAACCTATCGACGTCGGAGACCTCGTTATAATTGTCGACGAGACTCAGCGCAGAAATACCTGGTTAAAAGGCAGAGTAATCGAAGTAACCCGAGCATCTGATGGACAAGTTCGCCGTGCCAAGGTTCAAACTAGAGATGGCTTTCTGGTGCGTCCTGCAGTCAAGTTGGCGGTACTCGATGTCGGCCCGATTGAGAGTAAGCTACAGGAGTCTTCGCTTACTGGGGGGGGAATGTTGCCGAAATCGACGACGGCTGAAGCACCCCAGTGAGAACATGTTCGCGGAGTTGCCAACTCTATTCATTTTTATCCTATTCCCCTTTGCTCACGGCTCGTCCAGCTGTTAATCGCTGAGTAGCTCTTACTCACCACGCTTGCAGAGCTTACATACATACACACAAGTGGGGTGAGATTGCCGATTCTATTTTGTGGTTCAGTTGTGAATAGAAAAGCGAAGGGCTAGGGTAAGAAAATCTACGTAAATTTAAGATCACATGTAAAACCTTGCATTTGCAGAAATTTTAAGCGTCACAGCGTCACCACGAAGAGGGACAGCTGAAATAAATACTAGACTTGCATCGGAGTTTAATTTTTTTTTTTGGGTTAAAAAAAAATTTTTTTTTTTTTAAAAAATTTTTTTTTTTTAAAAAAAAAAAGGGGGGGGGTAAAAAAATTTTTTTTTTTTTTTTTTTTTTTTTTTATTTTTTTCTTGTTTAAATAATCTTTAAATTTTTTTTTGGTTTTCATTTTCATACTTTTCAATCTGGTTTCTACCTCTGGAGAGGTTACTCTGGATAAATACTTCGATTCTGGGATCATTGATAAGATTGCTCTTACACCCACATTGACTCGATGTCGCGATGAGTTCAGCAAAGAGACCGATTTATGTGATCATGTTTTTGGTATGCTAAACTGTTTTAGGCAGGATCTATTACTGAGCATGAACTAAGTATTATTATTGTATTGATATAAAATTCACACACTTAGTAATCATGTAAAAATAAATATTCCTCATATTGATATTAAATTCCTTGCCGATATACTCCAAATGTATTTGAAATTAAGTAATTAATTAAAAAGTAAAAGAATAAGTTCATTCTTTGAAAACTTTTGTCGGACTTCTCTTAGGTTTTACCACATTCTAATGATTCTACTTAATAATTAATAAGTTAATATTAAAACACTTAATTCACTCAATTCCAAATATAATTGAAATTATTATCATAGGAATTATAAAAAAACAATGCCGTTGTGGTGATTGGTCATGTATTCGATTTGGAGATTTATTCAGCTACAATAACGATTTCTAATCTGATATCTCAATTAGAGCTATTTTTTTTGTGTTAAATGTATATTATTTAAATGGATTGCAGTAATCATAATACAGTAATTAATTTCCATTAATAAACTAGAGTGTGGTTTGCATTAGGTGTACAGTTTCCTATTTTATCGTGAACTAGTCCAATGCGTCGGAAGAATCATACTAAAACTCGCCTTATTTGGCTACTCGTTCTTTTTCTCTTTCAGTTTGTAAGTATAATGTTTATAAAGTGTTGTAAAAGCTTTAACACCAGGTTTATTTTTTAAAAGGGTTATTCTGAGTTTATCCATCCGTGCACCGACTATAATGGGATAACAGAAGACGAAGCAAATGGAGTATTGACAGATTGGCCCCGCAATCTAAATTTGGCCATCGTTAATAAGACCCACAAGTGTTATGTGTCCTGTATTTTGTATTATTATGGCGTTGTAGCCACCTCTGGAGATGTTACACTGGACAAATACTATGAATCTGGGATTATTGATCAGTATGCGTTTGTGGATACATTACGACTATGCATCAATGAGTGTAGGGAAAATTCCGATTTTTGTGCTCATACTTTCTGTATGTTCAACTGCTTCAGGCATGAAATTCTAATTAGGACAAAGGCTTATAAATGAAAAATGCTACTTCTAGTTTACAACAATCGCCCTAAGTACATTATTCTAGTTCATATTTAAGTAAAAAATATTAAATAAAGGTTGTGGGTAGTTTAATCCAAACAAAATAACAATTGAAGTCTCTGAAATGCCGAACTAAGGTTCTAGCAGGCCCGTTTTCTTATCTGTAAGTTGAACTAAAAGAAAATTAAATACGAAATACCTACTTTTACTTTAAAATACGTATTTTCTGAGAAATCTAATAAGTCCCATCGAAATATGTAAAATTTTTAAAGTTTTAGGATAATTTCCAAGGTTAACTATTTTAAGTTAATATCTTCATGGGTTCTATTTGGTAATGATGTTTTTTAGTTTATTAAATTATTAATTGCATCTACAATTAAAGAAGTATCTTTTTGTTCTCTGTAATCTAAATCACCTAATGTGCAGCAATTAAATATGTAAACACCTATAGTACATATATTTAATTACTTTTAGAGGGGTTGTTATAAGTTCGTGTATTGGAAGTTTACCGATTAATAAGGAAAGTATGTTTGACCAAAAAGCATTGTATCTAATCGTAGTGTTTCTGTGTATAACAGTTAATGTAAGATTGATTTTATTTCAATCAATCAATAAATATATATTGGTTCATTCTTATCTCTTTGAAAAGGGAAACTCTGCAGTATATAATCCGTGTATTCAACAAACAGAGTTAACAGAAGATGAAGCGCACCAGGTATTGGAAAACTGGCCTGATTCCCCAATCGATCGGGTTTACAAGTGCTTTCTAACATGTGTGCTTTTGGACTTGGAGCTGATTAGTAAATCAGGGGAGGTGCAGATCGATAAGTATTTGAAAACTGGAGTTGTGGACTGGAAATGGGTGGCAATCGATTTGGTGACATGTCGCATAGAATTCAGTGATGAAAAAGATCTGTGTGAACTTGCATATGGAATTTTCAACTGTTATAGGAGGGTAAAACTCGAGGCCGAAGAGAAAGCTTCAAAACAAAATAAATAGAATTTGTTTGGGGAATTTTTTTTTTATTAAATAAATAAAAAAGAAAACCACGGCTAGATGAAAACTTTAAGAAAACATGTAAAATATTTTATCGGCGTAAAGGTGTTTTTTGTATCAAGAAGCTTGATCGATACAAAATTTGGGTAAAGTACATGTTTTAATTTTAAATAATTAAAGAATTAAAATTTCAAGTAATATAAAGAGATATATTAAACTACCTATTACTCATTAACTTATGATCTTCAATGTTACAAAATGAATAACAAAACATGACAGTTTAAATTAATCTGTTTAATTCCCAAGAAGTCGTTGCTGCTGCTGCCGAACAAAAGATCCGATTATATTGAGCTTTTTTCGCTGTCGTATTTGTTTTTAAAAGCAATAAAAAGTCGGGTCTGCTCATCAGATTCAGTTCTGTTCCGAGGTCCAAGACCGCAACACGCACCGTTTCGCTCTGTGATGGGTCGACTTCCGCTGTCCATCCTGCTCCTAGTGGTGGCGATTTGTTTTGGCCACGCCTACGAGGCACCTGACGCCCAGGTGCGCGTGTTCTATCCCAAGGGATTCGAGGTCTCCATTCCGGATGCGGAGGGCATTTCACTGTTCGCCTTCCACGGCAAACTGAACGAGGAGTTCGACGGCCTGGAGGCTGGTCAATGGGCACGGGACATCCCAACGGCCAAGCGGGGACGCTGGACTTTTCGGGATCGCGAGACAAAGCTGAACCAGGGTGATACCCTGTACTTCTGGACCTACGTGGTTTACAATGGACTAGGGTATCGCCAGGACGAAGGAGCACATGTGGTAACCGGCTATGACAATCAAAAGACGTAATGTTTCTTTTCAAACAATGGAACAATAAAACTTTTAAGTCAAGCTTAAAGCTTATATATGTATGTAGCGTATTTGTTTACTTTCGATTCTTATCCGCTCTTCTGGTAATCTATTTTAAGTTTGTATAACTATACAAATTATACATTTTACAACAAAGCTATGTCGGACTTATTCTTTCGAAATGATGTAATTAGTGGCAAATAACTTAAATATTTGAAAATTTAGCTTTCAATAATAAGAGCGCTGTTTCTAAAAATAAAAATAATCAGAAATTGTTTTCGCATTTTTCGATTTAAGATTAAAGATTAATTCTATCTTTTCTGATTATAATCATATGCTTCAAAACAACCCCTATCTCTTGATCGTAATTATTTTTTAATGATTAAATGTAATGTAATGAAGTCAATTGATATTTAAATCAAAGGAACGAAAAGACCGTAACGTAAATCCATAATTGATGCACCGCCGCCAATGTTCTTCTTTGCTTTCATTGTGGCGTGACGTATTTAATTATTTTCGTTAGTAAAAACACTTTTATCCAATGCAAATTTATGCACTTTTAAACGCTGTAATTAATCATAAATAAAACGCGAGGCATTAATGGCGAAATGGAGCGCCGGGCACTGCAATGCGATGGTCTGAAAATTGCGTAAAATAAAGCTCGCTCTCAACCAACCGATATAATTTGCTTTATGCATTGGCCGGCATACACGTCCTCCAACACAGCGGCGTTCAAATTAATAGTATCTGAAAATGTCAAACTCAAAATGAAACGATTTTGAAATAAATAATTAACATTAGTCGAGACCACTGCGAATGACACTCCGCGTAGTGACAAATTGCACACGGAAATGTGTTATGAAGCTACAACCCTTTTGGAAGAGGGAAAACCCTAATAAATATCGATTTCAAACACCAAGATAAAAAGAATTTTAATATTTTATGAAAGCATCAACTTAACTTTTAGGCTTTTTACCTGCATATATAATACAATGCGATAGATGCACAAAACTTAAATACAAATACAAATTACATAGGCAAAAGGCCAAAATATCCCGTTGCCTGTAATTGGAGTTGCAAAGGTAACTCCATTGGTGTATCATCGTTAATCGTTGCTAAATATTCTGCTACAATTTCCACCGCAGCTGTATGTGTGTATGTAGGTATAACGTACTTATTGCAACCCAAACACATACTTGCACTCACGCACGGTAGACATCGGGGCAAAAAGTTTCCAAGGATTCACAAGGCAAATTGATGAAGTTTTAGTTGCGGCAACTTCGCTACGTGATGTGTGCGTTACCAGACAGAGACGCACTGTCCACGGACCACGCCCCGTTTTCATCCTATTCCCATATTCCTACGGTGTCGCCCCAATGTCGTGTGGTACGGTACGGTATGGCATGGTATGGAAGTCCTTTGTGCCCGTTCGTTAGCTTTTCTCGCTCCCGCTCGCCTCGTTGCGGTGGCTTTTTTGTAAGCAACAACAAAGCAATAGCAAATGCAATTACAACGCAACGAGCACACATTTTTTGCACTCACTGTGCGCCGAGTTGAGAGTTTGGAGCCACGCTAAATTGGTCTGGCAAATGCTTTTGGAACAGTCCGGGTCACGCCCCCTCGTCGGTTTTTTTTTTCGCAGCCCCAGTACCTTTATAATTTTTTGTCTTCCCGAACATTGCGAAGCAGCCGTTAAACGCTCCATTGGCGCCTTTTTTTCACACAATTTTCTTTTTTCTGTTAAATTGTCAAGACCTTCCAAAAAATTTCTGAAAAATCGGGAGAATTGTACAACATTGTAAGATGTTATTTATAACTACAGTTAAGGAACTACTTTTTAAATTCCGCTTTAGAAACTAATTAAAAACTAATTAATAATATGCTAACCATATTTAAACAACAGATCTATTTTGTTTTAGTTTTTCGCATCAGGGAAACAACATTTAACTGAATAAATAAAGAAAAAGTGTTGATCTAATTATTATTATTATTATAAAGTGTTCAACTATAATGTTATATCTTATTACTTTTAGATTTACTTTGCATTTCCATTTACTAACGATTTGATGCAAGTTGCACAACTGATATCTCATAGCTAACGGAAATTTAGCTTAAACAAATTTGTAAAGTATATTAATGGAATAATATTAAATTGCTAAGTTGTTTAGCAATGTTTCTAGTTCTAGTGCAACTGATAATCTGTCAGCGTGCAAATGTAATTAACGATATCATCCAGAATTTTGAGCACAAAAATGTTAATCCATAATTACTTGTAATTGCCTCTCCAATAACCATAGAGTATATAAGGTCGAATAATCGGGTTGTTAGCGTGCAAAAATGTTTAAGATTCTTCAGCTTCTCGCCGTTGCCGTGTCTGGAATTTGGGCAGCAGATTACATGGCCGTCCCTGAAGATACATTTGTGAAGTGCACGGACGGCCCACCAGAATCGATTGCCATTGACGAAGCTTTCAACTTAGAAAACTTGGTGACTGAAATAGTTCCCGAAGGCATTTATATATCGGGCAATGCCACAATCCTATGGTGCTTTCCGCGCACCTATCGCTTAAACGTAACTGGACTACCTCATAAAAAATTACAGCTGAGTTAAAATTAATTGTATTTTAGGCCAGGGTAAGCGTTTTCCAACATAGTCGCGGCACCTGGGAACCTACAGTATTTAACGTAGTCACGAGGGATTTTTGCAGAGCGATTTTCGAAAAGAATACTTACTGGTACAAAACGTGGTTCCAAAACATAGCGAACAAGGAGGAGGTTAGGGAAAAATGTATTATAACCAAAGATGTAAGTTGTAGTAATATTCGTGTCGTAATTCCGTTTCAATATGATATTTTTTTCAGGCTGTTCATATGTATAATACATTCCTTTTTAAGTTACGCGCGGAAAACATTATTGGCCCTCCTCTACGTGGTCGCTATAAGGCTGTTTTAATTTTTGATGCTTTCGACGAAAATAACATTAAGCAACCAACATCCTTGTGCAGCGAATTTAGAGCTCAGGTCGAGAGGATAAAGAGTTAAGAATTTGGCTGAGAAAACAGCAAGGTTTTTTGTAAAAATGTAAACAATATGTGAAACAAAATCCCCTTGTTTTATCACTAGGTAAAGCATTGGAAATTTCTTAATAGTTCCAGATCTGCAACTGAAACTAAAATTCAATAAAAACATAACGTACCTAATGAAACAAAAAAAAAATATTTTGATTTTAAATTTAAATGGCAATTTGAACTACGCTCTTAAGTTAGGGATGTTTGAGGTATTGGTACAAAAAAATCACTTTAACTTCGATGCATCAGCTATAACTGTTTCGGTCATTCGTCGTCCATTGAAAGTTGTGTGAATGTGTTGCTGGGAAGATGGAGATCCATTATCATGGCAAGGTGCTTTTAAGGAAGCCTGTTACACACGTTTCGACGCTTAATGCACGACACGTTTCGAGCTTTGGGGCGTGCAGAGCTGTCTGTCCGCTCCGCTGGTTGCCAATACTCGTCCGTATACATATGCATGTATTTTTTACAGTGTTTGCTGGGGCATGGCAGTGTCATAAATATTCTTTGCCGCTGCTTTATTTCTTGCCCCGACAACGACAACGATGACGACTACGAGAAAGCAGTTTATCAATAATGCAAAATATTCCAGCGGATAGGAGGTGTGGGTGTGATGTGGCCACCTCCTGAGTCCCCGTTCGGTTACCGTTCACTGGAAGAAAATAATCTGAACGGAAAAGTAGTATATTTATAAAAAATTGTATTCAAAGAGAAACTCAGTGATCCACTTTTTAATCCTATTTAAGTAAAATGCAAATAGTCTGAAAATATTATATTACGATCTAGAATTTAGCTCTCATAAAATTTGGTAATGATGTTTGGTAATATGATATAATTTTTCTTAAAGGACAAAATGAGTACTGACCAAGTGATATTGATATTAATTTATTAGTTTATTAGTATTAATTTTCAGACCTGCCTTATTTTATAGCCTGGACCTCTCTTAGCTTATTTTCCAAGTAAGGATTCCAATTAAAACACCTTACTTAAAAATATTTCGCAGTTTCTTCATGTCGTGCTAATAAAACAATATTTTCCAAACTTCTTTAAGAACGTTATTATAGTATGACATTTTTCTTAAATCACTGTTAAGATTTATGACTTTATTAGGGCTAATAAATATTCAAATGAAAACCTCGATTTCAGGACGATTTGTCATCCAGTGTAGTTATTGGCACTGGTGTTGCCCAGCGAAGCGGCATAAGCTGCTTGGGCAACATCCCTAAAGCTCCTCGGCCTTCGATGCCATTCCGATGCAGAGTAGTCCCCGGTGACAGCGGCAAGGAGCAATGGGGAGCCGCGAGGAGCCACGAGGAACAGCCAGGAGCGGTAAGGAGCACCAAGGAGCAGCGTGGAGCAGAAGGACCAGAAAGGAGCTGTCGAGCCAGCCGCTGCACTCTGTGTGCATGTTTGTCGATTTGACTACGATTGCGGAAACGTATACAGTTCGTTAATCATTATCCGGTTCGTGATGCCCTCGTTTGCCGGCGACGTGATGCAGCTTTCCGTAGTTGAACGTTCGCTATTGAACTTATTACCCAGACTGTTTGCTGGGGAGAGAGGGTATCTGGATTTGGTGCTGGTTATTCTGCCCAATATGCATCGACAAGTAAAACACATTTCACCGGGACTGCCGGCTGCCTGGTTTATGTTTTGCATTAGCGCAATGACTCGGCCTGGGCCGGGCACTTTGTCAATTGGGGCAGTCGGGCATTAATTTCACTGGCTACTTATGGCGCATTAAATGGCGGCATCAGATCTATGGGCTACTAATGGCCCGGGTGGTAATTGAATTTTTCATTCCCATTAATGCCATTAAAGTGGTATTAGTATATTGCTATGAATATTGAGCTCTAAATGTGGGAAATCGTCTGAATTCATAAATTTTGGCGTTTTAAATGTAAACTATTTATGTGTTTAGCACATTTCTCGACGCTTATTGAGGCTAAATAAATAATTCTAAATATTTATTTATACGGTAGAGACGAATTGCACAGGGAGTGTGAGAAAATGTTAGAAAGGGTTTTTGAGGACGATAATAATTTTTCGTCAGAAATGTTGATTTCAGAACTTTTGTATGTCGAAGGTGCGATCGACAGTATTTTTTACTTCGTTAAGAGGTGTTTTTATTTGGTTACAAATTAGTTACTATTTTATGCTTTCAAATTAATCCATATTAGCATGCGGTCAGCCATGGTTAACCAAATAAATATATTTAAATAAAATTGTATTAATTTTTATTTTGTGAGGAAAGAGAGGGGGGGGGGGGGGGGGAGGTTATTTTTTTTTTTATTTTTTTAAATTTTTTTTTTTTTTTTTTTTTTTTTTTTTTATAATTAAAAAAAAATTTTTTTTTAATTATAAAAAAAAAATAAAATTTAAATTATAAAAAATTTTTTTGTGTGGGAAGAGAAAAAAAAAAAAAAATTAAAATTTTTTTTTTTTTTTTTTTTTTGGGGGGGGGGGGTGGTATTTTTCCTCTTTTTTTTTTTTTTTTTTTTTTTTTTTTATATTTTTTTTTTGGGGTTTTTTTTTTTAAATTAAATTTCTTTTTTCTTTTTTTAAAAAAAATTTTTTATAAAAAAAAAAAAGGTTTTTTTTTTTTTTGGGGGGGGGGGGAAAAAAAAAAAATAAAAATTTTTTTTTTTTATTTTTTTTATTTTTTTTTTTTAATAATTTTTTTATAATTATTTTTTTTTGTTGGAGGGGTGGTTGTTTTTTTTTTTTTTCCTTGTTAAGAGGTTTTTTTATTTGATAAATAGTAGTGAGAACACTAGAATATGCAAACATATTAAATTGAAGCAATTTATACCGGTCGAGATAAATTGACAAGTCTGGCAAATTGAAAACTAGTAGCTGCAGTGAATTTCGGCAACAGAGGCACTTCCGGTATGGCAGTTACCTTCGGTTCGAAATCAATATTTGCAGCTCAAAACGGGGCGAGCATTTCAAATTCGCGACGACAGTTGACAGCCTGGCAGCGGCAATCGCACAAGAAGCTGCCGCTCAAAATCAAATTAGAGCAAATGCGAAGTACTTGAAGGAAATGCGCTGCAAGCACAGGAAACCGGAAGAAGGAAGAACAAGAAGCGGCGGACGTGGAGGTTGGTGGTGGCAGAGAGGGGTCACCCGCAGGCGGAGGCAAAGGTAAAATCAAATAACAAAATCTGATTGAATTGAAACTGAGGTAAGCTGCCGAGCAAACTGATTTATTGATTTTCAAGCAGCGTTTTCAGCTTGGCTTTGCAAATTGAATAAAGTGAAATTTTAGGCGCCTCTATTGCTGCTCTGTTGCTGATATTGTTTTATATGTATGTATGTAGTTTCATCTGGCTTTTACAAATGTGTAAGTAGAGTGCAAACAATTACATTTACTTCACTTATTTTATTTGAATTTGGCCAAGAAATCCTATTGAAATAACAATAAATTGTACATAAAATACAAAAATTAATTTGAATCACCGAAATCGAAAACTATTCAGTTATTTTCTAGTTTGGGACAATGATCTTAAAAAATGACTTTGTGCCGTTTTTAAACATGTCTAAGTAGATTTTGGGAGCTTTAGGCGCATCAAACATTTTATTTACAACACATTTACGCATTTCGGTCTTTCAAACATGGCACTTTTTTATGTTTTTCGTATTTTTGTCGTTTGTTGTTTGCGTTTGGCGTTGAGTAGCGGAAATAGTAAAAGTTTTCTAATGAGAAAAGTTTCCTCACAGACAAAGAGAGGATGCGCCGTCGACAGAGACAGCAATATCTGGAGGGAGTTGGATGGCAGGCGAGCGAGTGAGAGAGATGGAGCGAAAAGATGTCCCGAAAGAGTAAGAGTGAGAGCAATGTTCCCTGCGAATTTAATCATTCGCCTTGCCGCTCACACACTCATAAAAAATATATATATATTTTAAGAAATATACCCCTTGACTTAAAGTACCTATTCATTGTAAAAAAAATCTCTAATTTTAAAGAATATTATCCAAAATATATGTACATACTTTCTTAATTGTGAGCACTGCATTATATTCGCTATCTTAGGGTGGCTCGACTATCTAAAAAATTTGGTTTTATTTTTAATGGTGAAATCGAAATACATTTTTATTATAACGTTCAACTTTTATTGATTTAAGGCTTAGAATTAATATAGATTTTTGTTCGGTGTACATAATTTTTCTCGTTTTGATGGTGAAATTTACTGTATTTTTGTGAGTGCACTCTCTCTCTCTTTCTTCCAAGGAAGTGCGAGTGTGCACATCAAAAACTAAACACGTCAAAGTAAGCAACGGAAATGAGAAAAAAGTGCGCTTATTTATTTTTGTACTTTCTTTTCACGCCCTCCCGCTTTCACCGCCCCCCGTCTTTAGTTGACAGATTTTTGCGTTGTCGCCTGCACTTCTATTTGACTTGGCGAGAGAGTGAGCGAGAGGGGGGAGCGGAGGAGCGGTAGGACAAGGACGGAGAGATCCTCGCGGCGACATCAAAGCGCGTTATAATTCGGAATTATGCAAAGCTTAGCAAACGTGGACGCATTGTGGCGTTTACAAGCGGAAATAATGAAAAATAGCGCGAGACGGTGAATCATTTGTCTCCTTGGCGGGTGGCGGGGGCGGAAAGGGCGGGTAGGGCGTGGCGATGCGAAGCGGGAGCGGTAGCAGATTGTTGCATAACGCTGTTATGGTAACAATACCGGAACACGGAGATTGCAGCTGTAAAGCGAATTCGCTGTAACACCTTGACTAGATTCAATCTAATTGCTGCACTGAGAAAAATTTTGAAGTCTGTCAAGAACTAGCTTAGGGATTTTAAATAGGAAACAGCCTAATATTTATTTATATTTATACATATATTATAGAGAAGTTTTTAGCTATTTTATTATACATCTATTAATTTATATTTCCGTTATTAAAAACAGAATTTCATAATAAAGTCAATGTTTAAAATCTTTATAATAATTATAGTAATGTTTTAATTGAATATTTTCATATTTAAAATATATAATATTTTTATTATTTAAATATTTGGAACTACTATGTTTTACCGTATAAAATGAGCCGCACCCGTTTTTAAGTTAAATTTCAAATAAATCTCCTTTCGATCTTCCCTCTGCATTCTGTCTACTTGATAGAATATTTTGGTCATGCTATAATTTTAAATATCCCACTCGGGCGGCAACTTTGTGTGTTTCGATGTATCTGCAAGGTGCATCTTAAACAATAATAATTTAATATGTCATTAACGTGTTTTTGCTTATCGCCCGACATGTATCGGTCACAACTTTACAAGATTCCGGATAGCCGTCCTAGCTAGCCAATTAAATGCAATCCCCCGAGTGGAATTATATCGGGTATATAAAGAAGTCGAACTTGCAGCAATCGGTACAGCAAACAGCACTTTCAACATTTTAGTGAGCCGTTAGGACGTGACAGCTCGGAAATGAAGCTATTTTGCGTTGTTTTGGTTATTTACGTTGTGGCTCTGACCCTCTTTGGAGTCGACGGACGTGGCGGGGGCACCACAAACGGAGCAGAGGTGAGATTCGGTGGTTTATTGTGACCTATCAACGGGTTTAATCGTCTCTCCTTCGTCCTTGCAGGAACCCAAGTTCGTTGGACTCCTCAGACGGGTAAGTAGAACACAAAGGTCAAGCTGAATACAAACGTTTTTCAAAGACTATGGCCAAAAAAAAAATAAACGCTTCAGAGCAGATGAATCAAGTCAGATCCAAGAAGGCATTGCACTGGCGTCGTATTCACAATTTAGCCTTCTTAATTGAAACTTATGTTGAATGCCTCCTTACAGGCAAGGCGCCGTGCATGCGACGATACACCACCACCACAAAAACTCCGTGTAAGAACGTAGTTCAGAGTTAAAAAAAAGAGTCTTGTAGTTTTATATATATATATTCTATTTTTTACTGCTATCTTGCCAGTTTACTAAAGTAGTGTTAAAATAGAGCTGTTATTAACTATGAATTGTATAGGAACCATAGTTTTAAAAAAATATTCGAAAAATGTTTGTGCATTTTCTTTTGAACCTAAATGTTGCTTTCATTCGTTCATTTTCCTAGTTTTTAAAAAATATTCGAAAAATATTTGTACACTTACTTTTGAACCTAAATGTTGCTTTCATTCTGTTCATTTTCCTAACCTAACATTCTTTTATTACTTAAATTTTCTCCTTTTTTCAGTCTCGTCGTGATGCCTTAGAGGAGAAATTGGTGGCCAATGAGGCTCCGCCACCACCACCGCAGTTCAGGGTAAGTACATATCGCGGATCCGAACTAGATGTATGATCTCTTACGTAAAAACATTCCATATTTCCTTTAGCAACGCCGCCAGGCTCCACCCGGTATTCCTCCCCCACCAGATGGTCTTCCACCACCACCCCAGTTCCTCCTCTAGACATTCCTGAATGTATAGCATAATGTTGGGCGTTTGTGCATGTAAATGGGAACCACATCGAAGCTAATAAAACTAGTTTGAAGCATTCCAAAAAGTACCAAATCCGAATTTCATTGGGCCATAAACCATATGGCAGTAGGTTTCTGGGAAACCTGACGGCCTAATCACCTGTGATGCAGCTGCCTTTGAAATGGGGTTCTTTAATCCTGGGTCAGGTTTCTACCTGAGTTCTACCTGTTTTAGCTATTTAAAGGACCAGTCAGGACTCTACAGCATCAGTTCAATTTCAACTACCAATCGTACAACACATTTCGAGATGAAGTTCGTGGCCTTTTTTCTGCTGAGCAGCCTTACCATTGCGATGGTTCTGGCATTTCCTAGTAGCGACAATGAAATTGTTGCTGTGCCAGTTGATAACCTGCATGCTGCAGCATTGGATTCGGGATCCGCAGATCCAGCGACATCGACAGACCAGATCTCTAACAGCCTACGCTCGCCACGTCATCTCCTGAGCAAACTGTGGCAGCCGAAGACCGTAGTGGTGCAGCCGGTGATTGTGGAGCAGCGATTGGTTTCCGCCCAATATCCCGGCTACGCACAGCCTTTTCCCAGTTACTACGGCCAGGGCAGACGCTACTATTAGACGACACTTTAAAGATTTATTTGTAGCAAATTTAATAAAATAAAGACGCCTGACCTTTAAGTCAAAGATTAATTCCGTTGTTGTTTTTTCTTTCTTCTATTTTATGCAAAGGCAAATTCCTTAGCGCAAATCCCTTAAGTCGAAAACAGTTGCCGTCTTGCTGGCTGGCTACTCCACCAAGTCCACCGACTGGGAACTCTCTAATGCCTAATTATGCATGCCGGGCACGTAGGACTGATTCCCGAAAAACTTAGTGAAGGTCGCGCCTCGGTGACGATGACAACAACTGCCGCAGAGGACACAGCGTTGCGGGATTTTTAAATAATTTTATACAAGCGATTGGCGGCTGACACAAGAGTTCATAGGGAACTCCAAAATGACACTCACAGCTTAAGAATCGCCGGGTTAATTTTACATAAGCAAATGGCATGTATTATACCTCAAAACAAGATAAAAACAGACAAATTTTCCCTTTAAATACTAAATTTAAAATCGTATTGCAAAACATAATAATCAATGCTACTCATTAAAACCTTCTACAACAACAAAATTTAACGACATATGTAGTTTATAGTGTGTTGAGTCAAATGAATTACTTACTTTCAATAGCATTAAAAAAGCAATATATTCCACGTGATATGACAATGTGCAGTCATTTCTAAAAACCCTGTCAAATCACCATGTGCAGCAGTAGAACTCTAGGATCAAGGTGCCATAATTAGGGTCAAGTAGAAAAGTCTACCTGGCATAAAAGGCTACTATGACCACTTAAAAACAAAATGTACAACATACTGAAAGTATTTTCAGTAAATGTAATATTTCTCAAAACTACATTCCATAAATCCAGTGTATGTACGAATTTAATAAACAAGTTTAATAACTAATTACTGAGAATCTATTTGTATTTGGAGCAAAAGCTAAGTCTTTGAGTTTTCAGTTCTAATGAGTTAGATTAAAAAGTAGTTACATTTTATTTAAGGAAGGCTCCCATGGGATCCCAGGCGGGCAACTCTTTGTATTTCGGCATTCTAGCGGCATGTAGAACCCCCGGAGGAACAAATTTCTCGTGGACCACTATTTCGAAGGCGTACTCCCTCAACCAATCTGCCTCCATTTTGTTGGCTTGGTTTTTGGCCGACTTCTTCTTAAGTTTCTCCTCATTGTTTTTCTTATTTTTATCATCGTTTTCATGGAGACTCCCTGTGGATTCGCTTTGGCCAACTGCAATAGCACTAATGGTGCGAAACTCTACGGGCTCTTTCATAGAGTCCAATCCAACCGAAGTGAGCAGTAAAGCTGTGTCCCGTCGGGATTCTTTGTAGATCAGTCTCTCTGCTTTGCTAAGGCAGTCACCCACCTTAATGCCGAATATTAGATCAAATGTATGAGATTGTAGGCTTAATGGTCCCGATTTTGTACTTAATATGCTGGAAAGGTCGCAGCCTAGCCAAACTGGCTTGTCGCCGGCCAAGGAGTCCACTATAATCTGCATTATGACCTCAATCGATTGGTTGTTATACCTGTGCGGTTCACCGCCCATCATGTTGGAACTGTGGGTGACTTGATAGTTGCTCTGGGGAATCGAGGAAATTCGAGGATCGTGGCCAAGGCAAACGAAAGCGTCCAGATCGACGGTACAGGCCACCATCACCTCGTAGAAATGCACCGATGTCAGTTTTTTCAAGCTGTGGTAGCGCTTCTTGTGGTCGTAGAATGTCCATGAGAAAGTCTCGGGCGGTTCACCCAGGCAGATGCTCAGCAGTTTGAAGAGACTCTTAATCATTTTTGGAATCAGCTTGGGCAGGCGGTCGCCGTTGCCATTGAATGTGAACTGGGCGTGCAGCTTGCTGGCATATTCACGGAGCTGCAAGGGGTTCTTTAGTTATAAGATATTCAGTATAAATGAAGGTTACACCCTACACACCTTACTCCTTAGCATAGTGTTCATTTTTCGACTTCGCTGTGTGGACAGGTAGCATTTCTTGGGCATTACGCCGTATTTCTTGACCAGGTTAACAAACATCTGCCAGTTGCCCCCATCCGGAACGGCATTCTTCATGAAATGCCGAAAGCAGCGACCATCCAGCGGCTCGCATTGCATTAGAAGATCAGCAACTGTCCACAGGAAGTAGTTGCATCGCTCCAGCTTGTGCCAGAAAAATAAGTGCGCTGCAGAGAATTCAAAGTCCGAAGGCAGAGGGAACTTTCTGTCCATCTCCTGGCGCAGCAGGTCGAGGCCCGTGCAAATCCATCTAGGACCACCAGTGGTTCCCTTTCCCTGAGTATCCACCTCGTGCCATGTTTTGTTGCCTTGGACTAAGGAGCACAATTCCGCTTCGGATCGCAGACACACGTTGATGGGATCTCGAGCGGTACAGACATTCTGGGCCAGACGATTCTGCGGAGATTCGTAGAATGCGGAGCACCAGGCGGACCACTGCGGTTCGGTCAGCAGAAAGTGCATTTTCGCATTTGGCATTAGAAAAGTGCAAGAATAGACACTACAAATTTAGACCTATTGTCTATTTATCGTATCGAGTCCACGAGAAAGCCAATTGTCGAACGCTTCTGTTGAAATACCGAGATACAATTTATACTTTTCTACAAACTTTTCATATTTTTCAAAGCAACTCTACAACTTTAGATACTAGATGGAGGTGCAGAATCATTCGATATTACATCGATGTTTGCCTGTTAAAACATCGGGAAAGCAATGTTTTCTGTTCCTCTAGTATTAGAACGCAGTTTGACAAACCATAAATTTCCTTAACCAACCCTAATTTAATTAAGATAATTTTTCAGAAATTCCTGCTATTACTTACGACTAGCTATGTGAATTTGTCAATTTGCGGGCGCACAAAAGATCAAGGGCATTAATAAAGAACTAATTAAATTCGCTCGGAAAAACCCAATAAAAAGTCTGTCAAGGCAGGGTCAAATGGGCCGAAGCCTGATGGGGAAAGCCCCACACAGCTGAGTACCAAGAACTGTGCATAAATACTGCCACAAGCTCGATAATCGGTAATTGTATTCCAATAGCCGAACGCCCCCAACTGTCTGGGCTGCCTAACTAAGCGTTAGAATTAACAGGCCCCAAGTCGCTCCGGTGAATTTCCCGCTAATCAATCAGATAACCTAAGCTGGTCGGCATTTCCCGGTAATTGACCCACACACATTTATGTCCGCAGGTAGTGCGAAGCGAGAGATTATGGCCAAGGACCCAAATTAGCATTTACCAGCTACTTAAATGGCTCCTGGAGCAATTTAGCATGTAAATTTAAAGGAATATCTTAGAATTAAAGGCGAGACATTTGCTGCTTATGCGCTTTATTTCGAGCGACTCATGTAGAATATTTTGAACTTAGGCAAATAGGTTGCCCAGCTCGGCGTGAAGGTCATCCATGGTTTTCTTGAGACTGGCCTGAATATCGTGCTGCAGACGCTCGGCATAGTTCTTGGCCTCCGCCTCCAGTTTGTCGCGATTGTCGAAGGAGTAGCGATCGCCCAGGAATGTGCGACCACCCACCTTGGCTACCACCGTGTGATCGGCCAGTTCGATTACTATATCTCCATTCGAGTACTCCACCTGAGCAGGTTGTCCATTGATAGTCACCGTTTCCTTTTGGCTAACACCTGCTGCCTTTGGCTGGAATGTGTACACCTGTCCATGCTCATTCAGTTCAATGGCTCCGTTTATGATCCTAACAGTGCGTCCATTGTTGTTGATATAACTGCCACCGCTCTCGTCGCCATAGACGAAGCTATGTCCATCGCTCTGGATTATGCTGGAGCCCGACTGACCATTGATAATGACGTTGTTATTCCCACCGTGTCCATAATCCTGGGAATCGTCCTCTTCACTGGAGTCTGCGTTCGCGATGATTCTGCGACCATCGGAACCTATCAAGACCGTTCGGCCATCGGGTCCACGGATGATCTGCCCAGCTCCGTTCGATAGGAAAGTGTTTCCATTGTTCTGGAGAATCGTCTGGTCCTCACCACGCTGAATATTTGCAGCTGTAAAATTAACACTTTTAGTAATTTCACTAGGAAAGGCTTTTCAAGTTGAAGTCATTTAATTTAAATAAGTTTTGAGCTTTTACTCATGAAAAATTAGCTTAAAGTGTTTTAAATACATTTTCCAATCAGCTTATAAAATTTACAGGCAGTAAAGCCGAATAATTTCGATATATACTTGTGGTTTAGAATAAAATGGACTCAAATAACTTGACGTTAAAGATGATCTAAGGATAAATAAAAATATTTAGATATAGTTACCGCTAGACTGAGAGGCGATGCCGGCCATCAAGCCCAGTAGAATCCAAGTTGCACTGCTCGAGCACATTTTGCATTGACTATACCGATGCCCAGTAAGGTGTCAGCTATTTATACTAGCGCACTAAATATCAGCTCATCGTTCCGTACATTCTATATGATCCGTTCTCAGCGGCATTACTCTCCCTCGATGTCAGATAAGACCCGGGAGGAGGTCAGCGGTGCAATCCCGGGGAATTGCCAGCGACGAGTTTGTTTTGTTTACTTGCGGTTTAGCGACGGTGCCACTTAGTCACCGGCTTGCCAATCGACTCCCGATTTTGACGGATCGAGAGAGTGGAGCGTGTCCAACCGGGAAAGCTTTTTAGCCAGTACAGTAGTACGCACCATAGATGCCATATGTGTAAACCAGACGGATGGGCGGGGGGTGTAATTTGCATTCTAGCGTTGAAAATGAATGTAGCACGTGTCGAAAGTGTTTTGACACTCAAGCCAGGGAATTAATAAAATTCCCATTGTACCGGTTTTGAGCCTTATCAATAACGCTTATCAGTTTGATGAATTTTTGTAAACAAATACCTTTACAGTTTATTTTTAAGTGTTGAATATTATTGTGTATATATTAGAATAGATTTAATCCGTGACTTTTAATTTTTATTCTAATTAAAGTTTGAAAGTTAAGATAAATTCTTCTCTAGACTATTTGAATTTGTGAATAACTTCTTACATTTTTAAGATTAAAATATAGACGAAAATAGTTACATTTTCAGATTCCACAGTGGTATTTATTCATTACTGTTAATTTATTTGAGTATGGCATTAAATTTAGTATTATCGTATGCGGTAAGTAAACTTCTAGGAAAATCGGCTCAAAGGAAAAAATTTTAAAAATGATTTATGCATTTACTGGTCACGCTTTCCCCATTTGGTTGAAATCAGTAACGCCACTTGCTGTTTCCCTTCGAATGTATGACTATATTATCGGTGGATTCATCGCCTCCATTCCAGGCGGGTCCACCGATGGGTCCAGTATTTGAGGCAGGTCCCCAGCGCCACGGATTGCCATGCACTACAAAAATCACAATAGATATAGATACAAGTGTATAAAAAAAGATATAGATACTCCACTCACCGCTGAGAATAACGAAGCAAAGCCAGAGCAAAAGCACCGCGATATGCTGACTGAGGAACATGGTCAAGGCGAGGAGTTCCAATGATGTAGCATTATATAGACACACTTATTTTATACGGCTCCTATCGCCAAGTCGCGCTCTATCTCTCATTCGATTCGTATCTCTTGGATTGCTTCAGTCTCTCTCTTTCGGTTTCTCTGCCCACATTTGGATACGTGGAGGGGTTCGATAATGGCTCAAGCTTTAGCGGCTTATGCATAATGCAATTTTCTGTTCTATGCACTCTTTTAATTCTCAGTCAAACCCTCGTTCCACCATTGTCAGATGCACTCGAAAAAAATTTGGATATTTATCAATTATTACGACATTTAACATTGTATTTTTTCCAAATTTTAATTATTACAACAACTTACTATTCAAATTACATTAAATTAATGTACTCACTTTTGGAACCAGCTTTCAATAAGAATACATAATAGATTTAATTACTAGGCTTTTAATGAGCTTATTAGTTTGTGTTCTTTATAATTTGTATATTAATTATTACAAAATATTTCAAAAAAAATGATCCTAAAGTATTAAACTATATCTTTCAACCACCGTTCAACTATGCATTTTGCATAATACATTTTTGTCAGTAATCAGTTGTTTTGTTTAGTGTAGACGCACAATAGTCGGGCAATTAAGAAGTTTCGCCATGTGGCTACGTTTCTAATTATTTTCAATTGAATTGCTTTGCTATACGTACAACTTTTTTCATTGCTACTGCCATTAAACATATCGTCGAACTGCTCGCTCCCACCTCGGATCCCAGGCCATTGACATTATCAATGGTCCCGGTCGTTGTGAGTGGGTTTAGCGTGGGTGGGTCTGTGTCTAACCTGCGCTGCATTGGGAAAAGTTAAGCTTTCGACGAGTCAAGTTTCACAATAAAAATTAAACAGGTAAAGCGTTGTTTGTTAATGACAAGCGTTTCGTTGTTGCTGCTTGCTTTGAGTGGTTGTGGATTTGGATTAGGTGGACAGTGGGTGCAGGAGCAACTCTGGTAAAATAAAGCAATTGTGAAGTGCAAAATAAAATGCCATCAGTAAAAGTTCGACAATCTCTAGGGGAGACTAAATTAGTGTGGAGAGCCAATGTTTGGCCACTCTCAACATAACAATACGGCTTTATTAGTACGATTATTAACACATTTTGATAGTGGTTTATTCAATAACTTTTAAAGTACTTATAAATTTTATGTATTGGAGTTAATTTACTTTAAATAATTTAATGACTTAATCTTACATTAACGCATAATTTTTTTAAGTGGATGAAAAAGGAAGTTATAGCATGGTCGCGTCACTAACCTCCATACAAAACCGATATTTTTTCTGGACCTAAAGTTAAAAAAATTCGTTTATATAATTCAGAACTTAAATGCAGATCTAACTTCGCTTTAACCTAGCTTGTGCAAAAATGACAAAAAAGGGCACTTTTATATTTTGTGAGCTTTTAAATGTCTACACCAATTTACATCGCAGACAACAATTGAATTTAAAACCAAAAAGTTTTAGTTTTTATACTTTTTCAAAATCTTGTTTTGTTAGTGAATATACATATAACTTTTAAACGAAATTCGAAAAATGCATCACTGATACATGTTCGCAGCGATTTCCTGAAAAAATACTGAAAAATATCCATACCAATTTACGTCAAAGTCAACGATGGGATTAAAAACGAAATACTGTCCATTTAATTTAATTTAATTTAATTTATTTATTTAGTATCCCAGCGCTACAAGTGTATACTTATAATTATGGCGCTAGTCACATTGATTTGATATTTTTAACTTATTATTATTTTTAAATATTTAAACAATTTGCCTAACTTACTTACTTAATTGCTTAATTACTAACATCAAGTATTTTGTAGTTTTCAAATTACTATTATATTATTTTAATTTTTTTTTTTTTTTTTTATAGTTTTATAGTTTTTTTTTAAATATTTTTATACCCTTGCAGAGGGTATTATAATTTTGGTCAGAAGTTTGTAACGCAGTGAAGGAGACGTTTCCGACCCCATAAAGTATATATATTCTTGATCAGGATCAATAGGGGAGTCGATATAGCCATGTCCGTCTGTCCGTCTGTCCGTCTGTCCGTCTGTCCGTCTGTCCGTCTGTCCGTCTGACCGTCTGTCCGTCTGTCCGTCTGTCCGTCTGTATGTCTGTTTCAATACCGTTTGCGAGCTCAGTTTAAAAGCTAGCGCCTTGAAACTTTCACAGTTGTCCTAAAACATGTGTACGCAGATCAAGTTTGAAAGCCGACCCGATCGGACGTCTATATCCTATAGCTCCCATAAGAACAATCGGATATAGCTTTCACAAAAATGAAGATATTTCGCTCAGTGTAAGAGCTATTGGCATGAATCTTTGTAAATCGTATTTTTTTGTGCGTACCTTGATCAGGGTAAGAGCGCGTGCCGATCGGACGTCTATATCTTATAGCTCCCATAGGAACAATAGGGTGAAATCGGTCAAAATTTGACGTTTTTCAGGAAATTTCGCGCAAAATATTAGCTATTCCCATGAAACTTTCCAAATCGTATTTTTTTGTGCGTACCTTCATAGCTCCCATAGGAACAATAGGGTGAAAAATTGTAAAATTTTATTTTTTCAATTATAAAATATTTTGTTGTTTATTAATTCATGTTGCTAGTCTAGTCAAGTTTTAATTCGTAAAATCTGCAAGGGTATTAAAACTTCGGCTTGCCGAAGTTAGCTTCCGTCCTCGTTATTATTATTATTATTTTTTATATATTTATATTTTTTATATATTTTTATTGTATTTTATTATAATTATACCCTTGCAGAGGGTATTATAATTTTGGTCAGAAGTTTGTAACGCAGTGAAGGAGACGTTTCCGACCCCATAAAGTATATATATTCTTGATCAGGATCAATAGGGGAGTCGATATAGCCATGTCCGTCTGTCCGTCTGTCCGTCTGTCCGTCTGTCCGTCTGTCCGTCTGTCCGTCTGACCGTCTGTCCGTCTGTCCGTCTGTCCGTCTGTCCGTCTGTATGTCTGTTTCAATACCGTTTGCGAGCTCAGTTTAAAAGCTAGCGCCTTGAAACTTTCACAGTCGTCCTAAAACATGTGTACGCAGATCAAGTTTGAAAGCCGACCCGATCGGACGTCTATATCCTATAGCTCCCATAGGAACAATCGGATATAGCTTTCACAAAAATGAAGATATTTCTCTCAGTGTAAGAGCTATTGGCATGAATCTTTGTAAATCGTATTTTTTTGTGCGTACCTTGATCAGGGTAAGAGCGCGTGCCGATCGGACGTCTATATCTTATAGCTCCCATAGGAACAATAGGGTGAAATCGGTCAAAATTTGACGTTTTTCAGGAAATTTCGCGCAAAATATTAGCTATTCCCATGAAACTTTCCAAATCGTATTTTTTTGTGCGTACCTTCATAGCTCCCATAGGAACAATAGGGTGAAAAATTGTAAAATTTTATTTTTTCAATTATAAAATATTTTGTTGTTTATTAATTCATGTTGCTAGTCTAGTCAAGTTTTAATTCGTAAAATCTGCAAGGGTATTAAAACTTCGGCTTGCCGAAGTTAGCTTCCGTCCTCGTTTTTAATTAAACTTGCGATTTTAAATTATCTTTAACTTTATTGTAAAATTGAGTTGCGCTCCTGATTGTTTTGAATTGGTGCGGTAGACTGTTCCATAGCCGAATACCATTTATGAAAAATTGCCTTCTCGAACACAGTGTTTGTACTCGAGGGCATATGTAATTTTTGGTTCTTAGGGATGTTGCTGGGGTAAGCTTATTAAAAAGATAATTTGGTTCTCCACTCGTTACTATTTTATGGAAGAATGTTAAAGTTCTAAGATCGATCCATGAGGTCAAATTAAGGTCAAGTAATTTAAATGTCATTTGTGATACATGGTCAAAACGTCTTAAGTTAAACACATAACGGACAATTGAATTAAAAGCTATAGTTAATATGCGCATATCCCGCGCATCACCATGACCAAAAATTTCGATGCCATAAAAGAGAGTGGGCATGAAAATAACTTTGGCGATTAATAATCGAACTTCCTCAGATAGAAACGATTTGGTAAATGAAAGTTTTCTTAACAGAGCATATGTACGTCCTGTCGCTTTGATTATGTGGTTGCTCCAAGATAAAGTATTGTTAAATGTTATCCCCAAATTAACTGCACTCACTTCCTAGTTTATCGGCGTATGGTTTATATATAATTTTTGAAGTGAAAGTGTTGAAATTGGCTTTTTACCAATTACCAAGCACTTCGATTTCTTCGGATTTATACCCAGGCCATTTTCCTTTGCCCATATTTCAATGAGTGACAACATTTTATTACTTATACGGACACAGGCATGTATTTCCGATACGGGTCTACTAACATATATTTGGACATCGTCAGCATATAAATGTACTTCACACTCAGACAGGATACTAGGAAGATCATTGACATATATAGAAAACAATAAAGGGCCTAGCACAGATCCCTGTGGCACTCCCCTGGTTAAGTTTCGGAGGGACGAAACTTGCGTCCGAGAGACGACCGCTTGATATCTATTCGTTAAGTACGACCTAATAAGCTTTGTCGCATTAGTCGAGAAATGAAACATTTTTCTAAGCTTGGTAATGAGAATATTATGATTCACAGAATCAAAAGCCTTACTATGGTCAAGGAGCGTTAGAAACGTTACGCAGTTCCCATCCAGTTTTTTTCTTATACACTCATAGAAATTTTTACCCTAAATCGCCCTAAAAAACTGACTTTTCGCCCGTGGATTTAGAAAATCGCCCATAAATCGTATCCGCTGGCGATTCGCCCGTGTATTTAGAAAAATTTTCTAAAAAATCCCGATGGAAATTTGGTTTAATTTAGGGTGATTTTTCTTGAAATAAGAAATATTTTCCTTTTTATACCCTTGCAGAGGGTATTATAATTTTGGTCAGAAGTTTGTAACGCAGTGAAGGAGACGTTTCCGACCCCATAAAGTATATATATTCTTGATCAGGATCAATAGGGGAGTCGATATAGCCATGTCCGTCTGTCCGTCTGTCCGTCTGTCCGTCTGTCCGTCTGTC